ACACCGGTTTGTCTGCATAGAAAGTGCTTAGTCATGCATGCTGGTTGTTATTACTTGTTAGAGAAAGTGTCTGAGCATTTCCCGTGTTATGACCGCCTCGTGGAGTGCTCTTTCAACATGAAACATTTTTTGGCTAGGTGTTTGGCATTTCGTGAAGCTTGGATAAAGGTGAAGCCTAGATAAAAGTGTGGCCGCGAGGCTCGACATTTATTGGTTGATGTGTGGGAGAGGAGGAGTGAGGCGCTCTATGCTGATTGGTTAACAGGAAAGGTCACGTAAACACAGGGGTAGGCGAGGAGGAGCTTGACTACCTGTGCGCACTGAGGGACAGGAGCTCGAGAGTCTGGAACGCTCTGGAACATCGCCAGGCTTATCAGCCCGGTTAGCGGTAGCATCACTTCATTCTAGGAACAACTATCAGCTGTACACACAGTACGCATTAAATTATCTGATGAAGAGTGCTGTGAATCTAGGAGTCTGGGGTCTGGAAACTCAGGGTGTCGCTCAACATTTGTGATGCTAGAATGTTTTTTGTATGCAACACACTTGCCCAGCGATTTGCCATAAATTTCTAATCACTGACAAGGCGAGGACGACAGGGAGGAGCCTCAGTTGACCTGCCTCCAGCGCAAGCTTCTGCGCGATCTACAGTACCGGTACGTGAGACAAGCAAGTTCGCAGCAGGTTCTCACTTTTTCGCCTGTGATCTGCGTGCGCAATATCGGTTCCCGTGACATGCAAGAAAAACAAAATCATGAGCCATTCCACTCTGTGAAGGTCGATGACCAGCGAAGCTCCTTAGCACACGACACAGACCCGCCCCAAGGAGCCGGAGGAGACTAGACACGTGCGACGGGACCGCCACCTCGGGAGAGCGGAAGGAAAGGAAACTAGGCACCAAGCGCTTGAAACGACGACATAGAAAGGGCAGTGCGAGCGTAGACATGGCCAACGCAGGTCGCACAGCGGCAAATCTTTAATTTTAAGAAACCTTTATTATCTACCTGAAAGTCTACTGATCGTCAAAATGGTGCTTATTGATAACTAATCTATTGAATAGATCTATTACTAAATTATCCAAGCATCAAGGAGAATGCAGGGAATGGTGTTCGACGTGCCGCATGTGCCGGCGTCTGCAGCATTAAGGGGAGACACTACCCAGAAAAAAAGAATTCTGCAAAAAACATTGATTTTGAAAAATTACATATTTACATCCACCAACATCTAGAGAGTATTCCCGGAAATTTTCACCAGCTTACATTGCATAGTTAATTTTTTATAAATTATTTTTTGTCCACCGAAGCTAAAGAAAAGGTAGGGTTTGGAGCACTTTGAACACATTTTTCTCCATTCCACTTTTTGGTATAAATACCATTTTAGTCAATCTATTGTTTTATAATGGCAATAAGGGAAGGCTCATTCTTAATTTTTCCTGACTGAAATTTAATAAGGAATGCAGTTATGGATTTTTTTTGCCACTTAATGGATGTTTTTTATAAAAAAATGTTGACATCTTGTCGAAGACACAGAAGGACAAAAAGTTTACCAATTTTGCAGAAGAAAAAACCGATAGAAATCAATGACTTCTTACAAAAAGCTTTCCATAGTCACACCTCCTAGGCATTCTGCTAGATATCCAACGAATAAAAATCTCGAATATTGTGATAGCTTTCCGACGACAGATTAACTAAACAATGCAGGCGTGTTACTGATAGAAGCTGCCCTAATTTCCTTCCCACTTAACCGACAGACCTGAAATTTTGTTATGCACCCTCTAGCATGACCACCAGCCTACCCTGTAAATTTCATTAATTTTAAGCCAAGGGTTGAAAAGTTGACCCTCCCAGGGGGTGTGTTCTCTAAGTTGTTCTAAAGCAAACGCCTAAAACAAATGGCATTTTGCACGCACATTCGTCAATGCTTTATTTTGGTTATTTACTTAAAATCTTTCACGGGGGAAGGCACCTGCGGCACGTGCGAGCGCAAAGTTTTTGGTTACGCACACGAAAAATCTATGGAATCCTAGCCATAAACAACTTCACTGTAATAATGCACATACCTGAGGATGGAGATGGCAGGCTATCTTGCCAAGGCACACAGTTGTGTTGGTCCGTATCCCCCCCTGCAAAAAAAAAAAGGGAGCCCATCACTCAGTTCCTGACACAATCGGCGTCTACCTCAACGAATGACACAACTGGAACGATTTTCATGTCGGTTTCATACAGTTTCCTATGCCTGGTGTGAAGCTACAGGTACAACTCTTGGAAGTGACATTGTATGTTGGCATTTAAAAGTCTGCAGCTTTTTGCCACAATGTGCAAAGAAGTGACAGCGATGGCTGTTACTGCGCATAGGAGTACACAATTTTATGCATTCCACTCCTTGTTTACTCGATCGCACACAACACAGCCTTGAGGTCACTAAAGTATGTAGGAAAATAGATGCACCACACAGATAAATCAACGTCCCTGCCCAAGACTAAACTGAGACGGGTGCCGTACAACTATCGCTGTAATAGCGGGATGACTTGCTCCAGCCCGAGGCAGGCATGAGACCCGTGGTACCGCTGGACGCACAGGCACGCCCACCATCTATCGGCCGAGGGGTGAACTACTCTGCTTGGATGTGGTCACGTGAATTGATGACGTCACAGGGTTTTCGTCCTAGCATGACGTTGCTCCGAATGAAGCTGGGAAGTCCTTATAACAGCTATTGCTTTAAAAGGAGTCGGTGTTTGGCATGTGGCACCATCCGATTTTTGCTTCTGCTGCTAGCAAATCAAATAAATTCTGAAAGGAACATTAGCATAGCAAGCAATCAAATGACCAATATAGTAATTAATTGAATCGGGTACTACATGCAACATACCTGGTCGTCCCTGGCCTGCAGGCGGGCAAAGTGCTTCATGACCTCCTCGTTGAGGTTGTGGTAGTTGAGCTTGGGTGCCATGTGCACCATGGCCTTGACCGTCTGCTCCCGGATGGTTGGGTTGGTATCCGAGAAGCCCTGGACCACGTGTGGGAACACCTCCTGGTTCACCACCTCAGGGCTCAGGTGGTCCATAAACTGGTCCACCTGGGAGAATGTGCACAGGTGGCGCACGCTGTTAAACAACACACACAAGTGGCACAGCATCTTATGCCAGTTGTCTACATAAAAAAAACATGATTGCCTTGATCCTGTGTATAAGGTCTAAAATAAGCAGAACGTAGACTAAAGCACCAAGAATATGTGCATGAAAACGGACATTGTGCAAATGGTTACTACAGCAACCGTTGCCGCGCTGCCACGTCAGAGTGTCAGCAATGGTTGCTATGGTAACTGTTACACAATGTTTGTTTTCGTCATTTGTGCGTTTGGCACTCGAGGAGATTCTATAGGGCTATGTATGACACTGTCCTGCTAAATTTAGCAGATGGTGGTCGCACGAGGTCGTCAATGTGACGTGGTCACATGACACCAACCCCATGAGCATGTCATGTGATGCCACTACTAAGCAGTCTTGGGTAGTAACGCGTTACTAGCAATGCATTACTGTAACTTAGTTACTTTCTTGGTAACTTGTAACTGTAACGAGTTACTTTTTAGAAATGTAACTTGTAACCGTAGTTCTATTACTTTTTTCTAAGGTAACGATGAAAGTAACGACGTTACTTTTGTCGTTACTTTCCAGTGTTTTACGAATAATATATCAGTGAACGAGTGCCATTTAGCCATTCCTTGCACTTTCCAAATCGTCCATTCTGACATTTCGAGTGTCAAGTTGGCCTTGCACAAAGTTGTGAATACGTTCTTTCTCGCAAGTGACGACCGGAATATAGCCACGTGTAGATTTCATGAAGAAATATCTTCTTTACGCACGCACTTGTAGTTTGTGACTGAGCACTTACATCTTAGTGTCTTGAAGCACTATCTATGTTGTGGTTTTTCTTTCTTCTATGTAAACGCTTTTTAATCCGGTTAATCAACCGTGAAACAACAATACACGTGGAGGGCACTGCGCATGTCTCGTATTTTATTAGCGCCACTACTCCGCACTGCGCATGTATCATATTTTGATTTGCGCCACTACTCGGCGTGAAAACTTTCAAACACTAACTTCGAGAAGCAACTGCTGCTAAGTTACAATATGAAGTAAAAAGCATACTTTTTAATTTTACGCAATAAAACGTTGTGAGGGGCGTTTTCTAGTTTTTTTTAAATTTCTTTTTGTGTTATAGAAAAGTAACTGAAAAGTAACGTCGTTACTTTTTAAAAGTAACTGTAACTGTAACGAGTTACTCTTTTGTTGCGGTAACTGTAAAGGTAACTTCGCTACTTTTTTCTGAAAGTAACTGTAACTGTAACGAATTACTTTTTAAAAGTAACTTACCCAAGACTGCTACTAAGTGAGTGTCCTGTGGCATCAGGTGACTTGACATCACGTCACATCACCATGCAGTACGACGTCATGACAATAGTGATGTCGTGCCACCCGACATCCCATCACTAACCACGTAACGGGACACCATGACCTAACAGTGACACTGCTTGACCGGACATCATGTCAAATAACGACAAAATGTGTTTGCCACAACGTAATAAAGACATCACGTGACCTAAGGTCCTGTCACTTGATTGCGCAACCCATATTTGCACCATGCCCATGATTAAGTGATCTACAGTCAGCAGAACAAGTTTGGGGGGCACAGAAGTTTGCGCAGTCAGACGAAAAGACTGGCTGCACCTCCTGACGGCGCATTGCCACTCTCAAGGCTTACGCTTTTCGCATGCACTTACTTTTGTGTTCGCAGTCACATATTTTTCGCTCGCTTTCATCCAACACCCACGAGATAACAAGGACTCGCACAAGACACCACGAAATGTTATCTGTAGCATGCGAGTTCCATCACCCATCTCAGTGGCCGAGGCAGACGCACGGCATGACAACTGACAAAGTGGCACCTTGTGTGCGTTGGATGGAAACAAGTAAAAAAAGACATGACTGCAAGCACGAAAGAAAGCACATTCTCAAACCGTGAATCTTAAGAGTGGCCGCATGCCGTCATAAGGTGCAGCAAGTAATTTCGGCTGGTGCTTCTGTGCCCCGAAAACATTTGCTGCTGACTGTAGAGGTGGCACCAACTGAGTGGCTGTTGTATACCCAAGTTATCATATTTTCGCAACAACCTTTCGTGATGTCCTAGACTTTGAAACCAGCTCATGAAAGCATTCCGCTTTTTATAAACAGCTGAATCAGTTTAATTACACTTTTGATGAGCGAGCTCTACAGCGAGTGAACAAATATAAGAATCGTGGACCTCTGGTTAATAGTAGTAAGCTGAACTGAAACCAGCACCTGTATGCAACCGTCTGTAATGCCGGAGGTACTTTGTTTGTACTGAGAAGGAAATTAACATTTGTCGATTCGAAAACTAAGCTTATTGCCTCCAAAAAGTTAGCTGGATCAGTATGCTAACTTAGTGTTAGCAAACTGGTTTTGTGAACTTTATAGCCTCAGCCGTACTTCCAGTCTCCTGTAAACAGCCAGACGTACCTGCTGCAGAAGCCTTGCCCTAGTTGCCCGGTCCTTGGACGAAAAGAGTTTGACCACGCAGGGGACAATCTTCTTCTGATACTCGTCTGCATCCAGCATCCGACCAATCTGCAGTGAATGGGACAAGCATCACTCTCAAAACCGAATGCACATCAAACTAGATATTGACATTATACAATGTTAATCTTAAGTCCCGCTATACACCACTTCAATGTTTACAAAGCCACGGCCCAGCGTGCAATCTCCACAGCCCACCGTCAGAAGGCGAGCAATGCACATGCCGTGCACACAAACAATAAAAATGGCCCTGGCCAAAAAGCGAGATTGAAATGGTCTATAGGTGGGCTTAATCTTTCAACCCTTTGTGCAATTCATAAACTGTCTCACATATCATTACTTCTGGTAGAGAGGTCCCTATACAAGCAAAGTCAGATTCTCTTGGTCACCAAGCTAAATTCTACTATTGAGAAGATTAGTGAAGTTCTGGTACCTGTTTTTGTTTCAGAGTGGTAATGTGGGGAATTGAATAGGCAGGCAGGCTGCCATTTAATTAAGATAATTCAAAAGAAAAAACGGAGCGCAACACAGAGAGGGAAGGTCGAGAAAATGTGACTACCATAAAATCCTGAGAGATAGACCGCCCAGCATCCGGAGCAAATTGGGTGAAAATAAGGAGTGGACTGACTTTCAATGTGCAATAAAAATAAAGTTGAAAAAAAAAATGCTGGTTTTAAATTTTGTGAGTTGCAAAACTTGTGATCGCAGCGAGGGGCAATGAACCAAAGGCGACTGTCCTTCCCAGTCAACAATGTTCTCTTATCCTCCGTCGTGGCCAAGTAACCCCTTCCCGCCGAGGTCACCATTGGCCAGGGCCCTGTAATTACTACAGTCAAAGCGCATTGCAATACACCTGGTTACAAGAGACATTTGGATATAACATACCGATTTGTGAAGTTTGGTTTGTTTTCCTCTATATACCATTGACTCAACTTCATATCTGCATACAACATACCGTAAAATACCGGGCAAGCGCCCACTCAAACTTTGAATGGGCACTTGTCTGGTCATCAATTTTACATATAAAATGGGCGCTTAATGTGGAATGGGCGGATGCACAATATTCTACGGTACCCCTTTTACAACAGACCGAAATCTTGGTCAAAATCAAGGTCTGTTATGACGAGCTAAGACTGTAGAAGTAAACTGTACTTCGGTGTTTTTGAGGAAAAAAAAAGCAAGTCATGCCAAAAACAGGGGTGGGTCATAGTTTGGGGGTGGCAAACCTCTCAGAATATTACAATAGTGAGTATTACAAAATGGTATTACCGTACAGTCGAACCCCGCTTCAACGAACGTCGCTTCAACCAAATTTCTAGTTCAACGAATATTTTTCGGTTCCCCGTCAACGGTCCATAGGAGTCAATGCATAAAAATTCTCACTATGGCGCACACTGTTTCTTGTGCCGTTCCGCTTGAACGGAATTTACAGAACAATTTCAAATTTGAAAGTTAAATTTTCTGTACGAAAAACAAACTTTCGAGCACTTTGGTGCATTTTGGCACATAAAATATGTCTACTATAAAGTTTAAATCAAGTGTTGCGCCACCAAAAACTGCCACTAACCGAAACCCGAGCGCAACGTTGACTGGGCGTGCAGGCCGCCATTACTCGATGGCGACAACGATGAGGCTGGCCTTTCCAAACATCCTTCGCTGTTGTACCAATGTTGGCTTCACCCATAGTTATTATAATGTACGCTAGAGGTTCAAGTGGCGCTAGTGTGCTGACGCAAATTGAAGCAGACAGCAACCAGTCGAAAATGGACTTTTGGTAATGCATTTCTATGGGAAAATGTGAGTGCATTTTCTCCCTGCGCTCGATCATAAGAGAAAATATCCCGAATAATTCGTACGTACTAGGTAGCTTGGAACACTTCTCAGTCAGGCCGACGAAATAATTGGTCAGTTACGGCGTTTTTCTTTAGAATTTGTTGCATTAAAAACGGTGCTAAAACGACTTCGTACGTGTATTTATGTGCACTGTCGGACACTGTTAGTGCGAACGCGGCGTCGGCGATTTCTAGCATGGGGGCTATACATGCCAAACGAACGAAGGACATCTGGAAAATCAAGAGCGGCGGACAGAACTACGCAGTAACACTGGATGAGTAACTCGCAGTGCATGTACGATCAAAATAAATTGAAGGCTACGTAATCTGTTCCGATTTTAAATAAATAAATACCGCTTTATTCTTTCTGCCCAGAGCGAAGCTGCTGGTTCTGCGTTCAAAATATCACCCGCGCGCTCGATAGCTTTGAGAACAAGTGCGCAATAACAGCTGCCCGGCAGAGAAAACAATACGAAGAGGCACCTTTCATAGCCCACGGACTTTATTCTCTACGTTCTGAAGGTTTTTATCCGCTCATGCACGACGGGATCATTTTCATATAGTGACTGACTGGCATATTATAAATATATAAGCATCACCGGAATGCTGGCGAGCCTTCCACACACTCTATGTTTGTTTCGATTGTAATTTTGCTTTGAATCGTCGCTTGTTTTTACAGACCTGCTGCGGAACACACGTTTGGGACTAAAATGTAGCGAAGTTAAATATCGTTCACTGATGAAGAAGAATGCACTAACTAAAGCAATTACACTTTTACAGTGTTAATCAAGGTACATGCTATTCGGTACGACCAAAATAACCAAAGTGTTCCGTGTTATTTTCCGGCGAAGAGACAAAATGCATGTGCGTTTTCCCATAGGAAAGCAGAGGAGCACCGCAAAAGTAGACTGGTTGCTGTCTGCATCAATTTGCGTCACGGAAGTCGCATAGACACTAGCGCCAGTTGAACCTCTAGCGTACATTATAATAACTCTATGGCTTCACCCTAGCTCTTGGCTTGATAATCCTCTGCTGCAGACTATCCAAAGCCGAAGTTCAGTCGTCTTCTTTGTTTTGGCGGTTGTCCTTTTCCGAGTACAGTACACGGGCTTTTTGGACAACCACCGCCAAGCAAAACGCAAAAGTTTTTATCTTTAGAAGATAAAGCTCACACCCTGGCCGAGGTTGCAAGTGGACAGCAGAAAGCTGTCATTGCGGAAAAGTTTGGAATTTCCCCGAGTTCTTCGTCGACGATCCTCAAGTTGAAAAATGCAATCGAAAAGGCTCTTGCATTGGGGGCATCGGCCAAGTGAAAGAAACTGACATTGTCGGCGCATGAAGAGCTCGGCAAGGCTATGTACACATGGTTTGTACAGATTTTTGTACTCTACCAGTTCAGGTATGCAATTTTTTTTGTGAATTTCACAATAAAAAATTTTCGCTACAACGAATTTTTTTTTGCGGACCATCAATTTCGTTGTAGCCGGGTTCGACTGTATATGGTAGGAACTGTTAAGTGAGTTGCATTATGTAACTTAACTGACTGCTTTGTCGCATTACGTTACTGACGTTACGAAAGGTTGCTATACCAATTATTAAAAGAAACTTCGCACTCATTTTCCAGATTTCCGCGGAAACTGACATTTGGGAACCTCATCAAATACAGTTGAACCTCGATGTAACGAAGTCAGTAAAATTCGCAATTTACTTCGTTACATTGAAATTTCGCTAAATCGAAATTTGGCTTTAGCATGCGAAAAAAAAAATTCCGAAACATTTTACGGGTATGAAAACTCACCGAAAATGACATTTATTTAGGGGCAAAGTAGTCCGCGAGTTTTGCTTGCGCCTTGTCCGACAGTAGCAGCGGCGTCGGCGGCGTCATACGGCGTTCGAGCGCCCAGAGCGCTTGCACGGCATCTTGCTGCCCATGCGACGCCGTGTACCTCCTCAGTACGTCCATTGCGTCGAGCACTTCCCGAGTGCTCGTGATCTCGGCAGTTTCTTCAGGATGGCGTCCAAAACGTTTGCTTTCTCATCCAAAGAAAGAACTTTACGTTTCCTTATGGCAGCAAGCACGTAAGTGAACCGCCCGGGTAACAAATAAAGCTGTTTAGTTTAGGCGGTTTAGGCGGTGCCAATGTTTCCAACCTACACAGCACTCTTGACCGCACAGTTTACTTGCCCCCTTGCGCCCACAGTGTGCTTGCGCCTTTGCTTTACATCACGCTCGCAAGATGATAATCGGTCTTTTCGGTCTTCTCCTAGATGGCACTGCCCGTGCGGTCGCGCGGTCACGCCATCACGTCGCTCCCCCGCTGAAGTTGGCTCCCGCGCTACCCGCGGTACAGTGGACTATGATGATCAGTGAATGTCAGTGGTGATGCTGTTATGCCGTGTTAACTTTTTGCTCGGCATTTTCTAGCCAGCCTCGCGGAATCCGCTTTGCCGCATGCCTCACCGGCGCTACCGGCGCCGCATCCTCGGGCAGCCTAGGAACATTGGAAGGCCTGTCCCCGTGAAGTAACCTATCAAGCGCTCGCGTTTGCGCATAATTTTTTTTTTTTAACCACAATTTTTTTGCGAAGTTGTTTTTTAGAGTTGATTTATTTATTGCCTTCTATGGCAATGGCACTTCGTTATATTGAAATAGCAGCAAAATAGACTTCGTTATATAGGGACTAAAAATACATGGGGTCTATGGGCAAGAAATTATGAAAAATAAAATACTTCGTTAAATCGAGGATTTCGTTACATTGAAGTTCGTTATATCGAGGTTCGACTGTAGTACCAGAAACAAAAGTGGCCTTAGTGTGGGTGTAACAAGTGAGTGAGAATTTCCCCTTGTGCCACTGGCACAGCTGTGTGATAAAATCAGAACCCAGCCAGTACTACATTAAACTATAACTACACTTTGATGAATGAGCAAGGTTGGCCATTTCCATCAAATTATGTGATTGGCAAATTAGCTCACAATCCTAATATTGTTGCTTTTAAAGATGTCAATATTAATTTAAGCAACCAATTTCTTCACGCTATTTACAATTGAATCGTAAAGGCTTGCCGCGCTCGATCATCTGTCGGCTGTGGTACTGATCTTGTTTGCTTATTTTTCAGTCTGTCTCACGTCTTCCTTGTTTTCTTCGTCCTTCTTTTTATCTTTGGCACGCTTTGATTGGCCGATCACGCAATGTATATTAAAGGGGCCACGAAATGAATCTTGGGCCAGGATAGATGAATTTAGATTGCAAGTTTACTAATAGCATATCGTTTAGTGGGCCAAAAGAAAGAAGGTAGAAAGAAAGTCAAAAGCCTGATTGTCGGTACGAAAATTTAAAGATATAGCGGACTATTTCATACCTTTTTCCCTTCGAAAGCTCTGCCTTTTCACTGCAATGCATCTGCGGTACCCAAAGCATGTCACCTGGCTCCAACGCAAGTCACGTGACACTCGACCTCACTATATTCCCTTCACACCTAAGTTGACAGTGTGGTGGGAGCTACGTGCTTTCCGGACTAATCAGCCGTCTTCTTTTTATCACCCGACCCCATTCTTCGAGCGTGGGTATGCGTGAGGGAGCATGATCATATAGCAAAAGATAGAAGTGTGGCTGGCCCAACGAGCACGTAGCTTCCACAGCATTGTCAACTTAGGGGTGAACGGCGTGGGAAAGAACTTTTGTCAGAATTTTGAGCGACGGGCTAATTTTGTAGGGGGAGAATGGCGATGTCCGGGTACACAAACAAGGGTCCGAGCAAGAGGGGAGTTCCTCCTCTCCTCCTCCTTGAACTGTTTGGTAAGCTGCACGCTTTGTGAGTTGAGTAGGAAAGCTAAGAAGGAAAAAGTTGAAAAATCGTTTCATGGCCCCCTTAATGGAAATGACATTAACCTACATTAACCTTGCTGTGTGATAGAAGTATAATATCCTGAAATTCATTCCAGTGGCCCACTAAAAGCAGCCTGAAACAGGGCTTAGGCTTGAAGCGCACCTTGAACAGCGGCGTGAGTACTGACGAACCCGCGTCCCCAAACTCAAAGGAGTTGATGAGCTGTGGCAGGATCTTGTACTTGCACACGTTGGGTGGGAAGTTGTCCATCATGGCAGGAAGTCCCGCAAAGAAACGGTTCTTGGCTGTGCTGTCCTTGATCTAGAAAGACACAAACACAAGCTGCATTCAGGGGATGAAAACCAGTGACACAATTTTTGAGAAAGTCTCAGGGGAAAATAAAGTGTACTTTGAGGTAAGTAAGAACAGCAAGTGATGTCATATTCATAGTCAAGAAAGCACCTTTTAAAATACCGGGCGATTCAAGAAGACGGCAGGCTCTCTAAATCGACTGGAAAATTCGGCCTCTTAACCTATCGCGCTACGACTTTGTGCAGCGTTGCCCACAGATGGTGCATTTTTTTTTGTAAAATTTGCAAAGAGCGAACTTACCTGAGGAAAAAGTAAAGAAAGAAAAAGGCTTAGCTCCTATGGAAACGCAGCGACGCCACCGGTCTGCAAACAACACGGCGCGGTTTGGCACGAGAGACAAGAGATGGCGCAAGCGGTCGCGACGCCAACTGCCACCAACGAACGAGCAGACGACGCCGAGAGCTGGCGTATTTATCAGAGAAGGAACTGCAGTTCCTTGTTGTTACCGCGCCTGTTTTTGTTTCTGCGACTGTCGCCGCCTGCGGAACGCGCGCCGCTTTTGAGTCGAAAAGATTGTCTGCTAAAGACGCTGGCTCTCGGCGCTGTATGCTCGTTCGTTGGTGGCGTTCGTTGCGCCATCTCTTGTGTCGATGGCCGGCAGTACAAGATAAATAAATAAATAATCATGTCCTTAGTATCAATTCATATAAAGTAAAAATGCAAACAGTACGAACGAAGCACACTGGCCCAGAAATTCGATCCCCAACAAACCTGTATCTCCTCGATAAAGAGCATGGTGTCCACAAAGCTGTTCTTGAGGAACCCACCAGACGAACGACACCGGGTGACAATGTCATTTGGACTGGGCCGAGAATTGCAGGTGGAGTTGGTTAGCTGACTGTATGCTGATGAAAGGGGCTTCGGGATCTGCAAGCACAAGTTTGAGCACTGTAAACTTTGCTCTCAATTCCTTCCATTCATCCAATAACCTCAAACACGAATTGAGCGAGTGTGCATTGAATGGCGTCTCAAGATCACCGAAGTGTGCTCAGGAGAGATTGAGACACATGATGGAAAAAGATAAACTGACATAGACACCCCAAAAAAAGATTATTTTAAAGGAAACAGTAGGTTGTGGCATCGGAGCATAATTCCCCTTCTTTCCAATGCAGTCAGCCAAACAGACAAATGTTTCAAAATATTTGCAGTGCCTACAAAAATCTAAAAAATTAAATTGATTTTTTTAGCACTTTAGAAGCTTCTGCAGGCTGCAAAATGAAGACATAAAGGTAATACGATAATGAGCCGACAGATTTGAAAGTCAGTCAAATATCTGAGAATTTTAACACTTCAAATGCTTCTGCTAGAGCTGGTAGTTGGCTAGTATCAAAGTTTACAAACAAACCATATAAGGGCCACACCCCCATTATTAAAAAAAAAACAAAAAAAAAACGAAAATTATTTATGTATATTAGCTGCACCCACACCCTTTACCCAAGGTGTGCCGACCGCTTCTGCAGTCTGGCGAAAGCGGTCGTATACTGAGCTCGCAGTTCAAAACTTGAGTTTGGGTCTGTGGTTTGGAACTGTCCAAGTGTGGCAGGCTCGGAGAGGTTAGAACATGTTCAGAGGGGAGGCCAGCACATATTGCGTATGACTGTTATTACAGTTGGCAGGATTTTTTTTAGTCACGAGTTCATGTTACACAGGATGAATTTTGCAGACATCAGTAGTGGATCAGCGAAATTTTTGAGACTAGTATTTTTACAGAAAGCCATACATGGAACGTGTCTTGCTTTCTTTATCTGTTCCACGCATGAATGATCATAACCCTGACACGTTCTACGTGCAAGACCTATGTTCACTTTCCCTTCCCTCTTGCATGTCCAAATTACTAGTTTTGATACACTTGGCACAGAAGTCAATATCTTTGATAGTGAACGCTCATTTAAAGCTGCCCTAAGCATTCAGCGTTATTAAAGTCAGTGTGTTTTTTTTCTTTTTAGCATCAGTGTTATTTTGTTGTTTTAGTTTGTTTTTAAAATGTATTTGTGCGTACCAGCATTTAGGCTTTGGCTGTTCCCGGACGCAAGAAAGAGAAAATAAAGGAACAGACAGATTTATGCGCTTGTGACTAAAGATGAAACAACCTTAACCTTCACTGAAGGTTACAAAGTTGCACAGCTGCCATTCAGAAGAAGAAAACATTTTTACAGAAAGTAAAAATCATCATTACTTTTGCATTCCTAAAAATTTAAGAGTTAAAAACAAAAACCAGGACACTAGACTTCAATACTAAAAAAAATAAGAAATGACAACACACTTGGGAAACATCATGTCCGGCTGTAAATTTCAATTATGTCATATTTCCCCGACCGTGATGTGCCCCCGATTCTGACGCGCACCCAGTTTTATACCCCAGAGCAGTGGTTCTCAAATGGGGGTCCGCGGACCTTTCGGGGTCCGCAAAGGCATTCTAGGGGTCCACGTTCATCAGTCAAGCCCGGCAATGAAAGTTTTTTTTCGAGGTCGAGAATAAATGTTAAGATTTTGGGCGAGTTTCCTCGTGTGCATGTCAATAAAAAAGGTCTACTCTACACTAGCCCTTACTTAAATCCATTTATTCAATTATTATTATATTTACCCTATACCTTCCCCCTCCCCTCACCCTGAACAGGGTCCTCCATCATCTCTGCCGATCCACAAGGGGTCCGCGAAACATTGATGGTTGAAAACCGCCGCCCCAGAGCAACGCTTAAAACTTACTCCCGATTTTAGTTCTTGCCCTGATTCTAACACATACGGAGTTTAAGGCATATTTTTCTTACAGAATGGTGAGAGTTAGAATTGGGTAAGTGCAGTAAACAGCCGAGGATGAGCCGAGGTTAGTGCAATAGCCCAGCAAAATTGCTTTTTAGTGGCACATACCTTGCCCGGAGATTCGAGGGCCGAAGCCTTGGGCAGGGGGCCGTTGAAGGCTTCCCAAATGAGACAGCCAAGACCCCAGCTGTCGCGAGCCCTAAACAAAAGGAAGATAAAAAAAATGTTTACGGAGAAAACAATTACATTTAATCATTCAAGTGCCCTTAAAGGGCCACTAATGCGCTTTCTGAAATCGTCCTTTCACGGCGTGAAATCAATCTATGTGTCCTAGCATCCTAGAAAACCCAAAATTACAATACGTGTGGCATTTTTCCATATTGAAAACTCGACCAAACATACCAACAGACCCCCTTTTCCGAGATATATATCAGAAAAGTGATGTGCTGCCAAGTTTGATTGCATCTATAATGGGGAAGAAGGACATGCATGATAGTAATGTTGGATTATTTTAGGGCGCTTATGGCGCATAGATTAAGTTGACGCCATAAATAGACAAACCCAAAATCGACTTTAGTGGCCCCTCTAAGAAAATTATGGTTTGTAATGTGTCATAGTTTTTCTTTGGAACTGCAAACAGCACAATGCGCTTATACTAAGCCAGGTGTAGTAAGGTAAGGCACTACCATGAAATCCCAAATGAATGCCCCCCCCAAAAAAAATTACAGATACCGGTTTTCTGGCATGTAACACGTAAAATTAAAAACACACAAACTATCACAACCTCCAGCTAATTCCCACAAAAAGCAAAGATGCTGGGCTTCCAAACTGAATGGATTAGAGGGAAATGCTGGACCATGCCTCCAATGGGATTAAGCGCACTTGATTTTAATGCGATTGCAGTGTAGCAGTAAACACAATAAAAATTCACAAAAACAAAGAACTGCTAGAAGCGATGTCGATTTCTTATTTGCCATCGTCTTTATCACCATAATCACGTTTCAGATTCACGTGTGCTATGACTAGCGCGCCGTGGCGCACACACCCGCCTTTCAGCCCGAAAACATGCAACCCTAAAGCCGCAGCTACAATGCCGACAGATTGTACAAAGGAGTTTGCGGACACTGTGCGAGGAGTGTTTCTTCCACGTACGAAGGTCCTCTCACGAAGCATACATACGTATAAAACGAACATGCTGCAACCATACTTCGGGCACGTCCGTAGATAATGCTGTCCTCACACATGCAGCAAACACCGTCTCTGATGTACAACATGGCAGCAGTGTGGCCACGGCTCGAGACCAAGCGCCTAAGATCACCGAGCCTCAGGGACCGTCGTACCACTTTGGTCCGGGCTTGGCCCTTCCGGAAGAGGGGTTGGACAACTCCGGGGGGTTGTAGCGGTCCAGGGAGGGCAGCGTCTTGGCGGGCGGGGCCTCGGTGGCCGGGCACATGTAGTCCACGCCTCCAATCTTCCATTCGCCCGCCTTGTCCACGAAGACGGACGTCAAGCAGATGTTGTTGTGGCTCAGGCCGCAGTCGATCGTCAGGAACCCCAACCCTTTCTGTCAGATGGGCGCGAGACGTGATTACGAATGGGGCGGCTGCTCGGCCTGCCAAACGAGTTGCCAAAATACGCCGCAGAGGCAGTGCTACGGTGCACGTAACACGTCTTTATCTGGTGTGCTAAGCATCCTATGCCACCCATCTATTGAAAGTGGTCCCAAAAGTGGCTAGGAATTATTAGCACCCTCTCCTGGCAAGTAGAAAACGCTTGCCTAGCGGATTCCTGTGCCCCATGCAAGATGCGAGCTATCTCTCCATGTAGGTATGAGGCGTGGCTTTACCAGTGGGACCCAGAAACAAAACAACAGTCTATGCAGTAGAGGCATTTCGGGTGCCCTCCCCCTCTGAAAATATTAGACGAAAAGCTCCGGGGACGAAAGTGATGGCAAGAGTTTATTGGGACCGCAAAGGGGATCCCGCCGGTTGATTATCTGGAAAACAGCAGGACAATACCGGCGAATATTATGCACACAACGTAAGGGCGTAGGTAAGCTAGTGTATACTAAATATTGTGAAGCAACTGGAGTTCTGAGTTTTTCGGGTAAATCGGAACTGACAGAAGATTTACTGGCGAGTGTTTTCGTATGTATCCGACATACACGGGTAAATTACTTTCAAAATGTAATTCGATTACAATTACTTTGATTCAAAAGCAGTTTAACTACAATGACAATTACTACTAGATGAAAAGTAATTAATTACAATGACAAATTACTTTTAAAAAGTAAAGTAATGCAATTACTTTACAGTTACTTATTACTGGGAGCGACCCGACTTGGGCCATATAACTTTAAACAAGTTGTATGGAATTCAATGTATTGGTTCATTCCTTGCACAAATGTTTGAGGAGGGTTAAGTATCGCTGCATAAATGTTACGTATTGTGCTTTCCTTTGATGAATTTCATTAAATTCACGATGGAACTTGACAGTTTGAGGCAATGAACTACTTCGTTCTTATATCTTTTATAAATAATAATAAATTAGTTAATATGCTAGAAGGTACCAGATCGCTAAAGAAAAAAAATGGGTTGACAGAGTTTTGTTAGCCCGGCAAAAAGAAATGTGACAATTAGTTTTATTTATATGAACATTTTACAAGTGTTAATATAAAACTAAAATCCACACGCGCTAATAAGACCGCATTCACATCATATATCATGGTGCTGTCAATTATTTACATTGAGTTGAAATTATAATGGCTCAGAAATACAGGGTGTCACAAAAGAAAATTTACACGGTCTTTTTTACCGCAAAAATAAACTAGGCATCGCCGAACACTCATTATCCGCCAAAAGGTAGAGCTAGAGGTCACAGCCAGATGCCAAAGTTTCAGCCCGATCCGATAACTTAATCAGGAGTTATAAGTGATTTTCTGAAAATTTCAATGGGAAAATGGCGACCGACGGAGTTTTTAAACACATGGGGCTCTATGGCACCAGAAACCGAAAACGGGCAAAAATGGGCTCCATTTTCCCATTGAAAATTTCAGAAAATCACTTATAACTTTTGATTAAGCTATCGGATCGGCCTGAAACTGTGGCATCTGGTTGTGACCTCTAGCACTACCTTTGGGCAAAGAATGAGCGTTCGGCGATGCCTAGTTTATTTTTGCGGTAAAAAAGACAGTGTAAATTTTCTTTTGTGACACCCTGTATAGAAGAAACGAATGGGGGGCTCCCGAATCATTGTTAAGAATATTCACAGGTGCGAGGCCGGTCTCCAAAATGCTTATGCAAAAAATATGCGAAGTAAAACCAACAAGAAATAAACTTCAAAATAGTACAAAGATACAAATATCGACAGTACCGGAAAAGAGACGTAAAAAACTGACAAAAAAAAAAAAAACCTTTATAGACAAATAAAATTCCCTTGCACAACTGAAAGCTGAAGCTCAATTTTTTTTCTCTCAATATTTTGACATGTTTACGCTATTGTTTTCTGCACGCACAGCAGACGGCGCAACACGGCGCCGTTGAGGTAGGCGCCAAAGATTATTGTCTCTCAGCCCAGAGTGTAAACAACAAAACAACAAACAATGCGACACCATTTAGGTTGTGTGTGTGAGTGTCTTTGTGCGAGTTTTTCAATGAGAGTTAGGCCGCTTGTGCGAGCGCTGAGGCTTTCAGAGGGGTTCATTCGGCGCAGCAAAGCTTTGCAAAAAGTAATTGTAATTGTGCCCGAAATATTGCATTTACTGACACTAGAAAGTAATTAAATTACAATTCCTTTTGGGCGAAAGTAATTATTACAATTACAAATTACCAAGAAGAGTAGTTTAATTACAGTAATTCAATTACTGTAATTGAATTACTACCCAAGTATGGTATCCGAAAACACAAAACCCTTTTTATAAGCTAAGGCAGTAAATATGAGCCACACTTGTCCAGAAGGACGGCTTTCATGCTGTATGCTGGGCTGGGGAGGCATCGAAGGGTAACGGTGGCACAGAGAACAGCTGGAACAGCACCGTAGCAGCGCCTGTGGCAGCTGCGCAGCAAGAATGCCAGCGAGCAGAGCAGCTCCGTCTGCTGCATTGTGTGCCCCAAGAGCACACAACACACTCCGAGAGTCGTCGCTCGACCGCTCCGCCACCGAGACCAGAAACTTCGAGTCCCAAATATGCGAATGCTCGCTATTTGCCAGGGGAAGGGGCAGTATGTCACAGGAGTCTGTGTGCCATTCTAACGGATGCTGCGGCCCTGGCAGTCTGTCGTGGAAGTTCCGGCAAAAAAGAAGAGCGAACGCAAGTGTTGCCGTCGTCGAAACAGGCGTCTGCCACTTTCGTATTTCCTCAGTCTCAAGTTGCTTCACACTGAATATTCTGTCAACATTCTCTGCAAAATGCATGAGGCCATTATGGAAAAACGACAACGATTGGTGACAAGAGGCATCCTCCTCCTGCATGACAGTGCCCTTGTTCCCAAGTCTCGTTTCGCCCCTGCGGTTATTCGAGAGTGTGCATTCAAAAAGCTTGACCACCCACCCGGCAGTCCTGGTCTGGCCCCTAGTTACTTTTTTACTTATTTATTTTTTATCTTGGGTTACCCCGCTGTGCCCAAGGGCATTTTTGCAGGGGAGGTAGGGGGGGGGGGGGGGGGAAGGTACATAGCCAGTCGAGAAGGTAGAAATACACTCATGAATATGTATCAAAAAAAGAAACAAGGAAATGCAAGCACAGAGGAAAATACACTCAAACAAAAGCGAGCCCGGAATAAGATAAAAGCCACATTGGTTGCTTGCATACCAGGTACCTGCCAGATAACAACATCAGCTGGGGAAGATATGCGCTAACAGCAATAACAATAACTCTCGCTTGTTGCCTGACACATGAGTAGAAAACACAGATGTGTTAACTCGTGTGTGATTATATTCACTAATCTGAAGAAACACTTCAAGGGAACAAGGTTCAATGACTTCAATGCACTGCAAAGTGCCATAGAGCAGTAGCATGATGAGCAGGAAGAAATTTCTTTTATTGTGAGGTTTCAGAAACCTTCCAGGCAAATGGGAGAAGAGCACTGGTATAAAGCGGGATTATGTTGAAAAATATTTTTTTTTTCTAAACCCTGGTAGTTCTTTTTACGGAAGTTGTAAAAGTTTCTGATCACCGCTCGTATGACTTGTATAATGTTAGTCTGAGAGAGACTGAAGAAGAGTCTTTGGTGAGCAATGAACCCTATAACAATCAACGATATTAGATCTTCGTTGTCTGCTGCTTTATCCTTTAAAATCTCATCTCACCAGAGACCCATGTGCCAACACTGGCATTTGTCTCTCAGATACTGCAAAAGATTGCCTGAGTTGCCCAAATGTTTGTCAGCCAACATTTGTTTCTACAATGGGATGACGCTCAGAAGATCTGGTGTAAACCATCTCAAAAATTGTATGTTTGATAGACGAAAACCAGATGCCCCTTCATGTGTCATTTCGCCTAACGATACACTGCAGAACATGTTACGTGCCATTAGAGCCAACCCAGCCTTATGAATGGATCATATGACTAAGTGCCCTGCTGATCGTTGCACCCCTCCCAAAGGTCACGTTACTCCCACATGGAATTGGACTGGATCCAATGGCTGGTAGCATCCGCCATGGAACATTGCAAAGTGAAACGGAGCATAACTGCGGTCCACATGTCAAGAGGGGCAGAGTAGAGATGTAACTATATACATCACATACATACATATAACAGAATATAAATATCTGGGAGTTTTATTTTCTAGTAACTTGTCATGGAATGCTCATGTTGATTATTTGTCATCTAAGGCCAGCCGCACATTAAACTTTCTGAGACGCAATTTTAGTCAGGCACCTACTAACCTTAAAGAAATATTGTACATATCGAATGTAAGTCCCGTTTTGGAATATGCATGTGCCGCATGGGATTTACATACTCGTCACACTATTGAACAACTCGAACGTATTCAGAAACGGGCAGCTCGGTTTGTCTCCGGCAATTATGATTTCTCTATAAGATCATCTGAAATACGCCGCAACCTGGGATGGCCTCTGTTGGAAGACAGACGAAGGTTCCTTAGGCTCACTTTATTTTTTAACATAGTAAACGGTAGGACCGGCATCGAGAAAGAACGTTATATTAAGGAGCCCAGTTATGTGTCGCCGCGTACAGATCATCACTTAAAAGTACGAGAATATAGATGCAGAATTAACGTTTTTAAGCACTCGTTTTTTCCACGAACAATACACGAATGGAACAATTTACCAACTGAGGTTATCTCGGCGGCTCCTTCATCCTTCCCTACTGCCCTAAAAAACTTGCTGTTGGAATAATTTTTCACTTTGCCCTTCTAATAGTGCCATTCACTATACTTTGTTTTCATATATTGTACAAAGTGTTGTATGTTGTATTTTTCTCCTAAGATGTCATATCCACCATTTCTGCATCACAATAGTTCTTGTGTATCTCTATATGTATCGTTTGCTATTGTTTTGTATTGCCTTACCCCCCTACAATAATGCCCAGATCTGGGCGATGTAGGTATTCGAATAAATAAATAAATAAATAACTCAAGACTCACGGCAACTTGGAAAAGCCCCCAGGAAACGGCAAGCCTCTTCTCCTCTTCTTTCCGAGACAGTTCCAAGTGTTGGTTGAGAGGTTCAACATACTCCGTGACCAGGTACACAACTTTTTCCGTCTGTCAAAATTTCAACAAATCACACGACCACAAAAAAAAAAAAAAAAAAAATCCTTAATTTTTTATTAGAAAACTGGCTCTCACAATGGGTGTGAACTACGTGTGGCTTGCACTGACGTCACACCAGCAGCCATTGTGGTGGCCATGCCGCTGAGCACGTACACTTTCAGCAAACATACATTTTGCACCCACCAATTTTTTTTTTTTTTTCTCACCAAGGAGATGTAGGAATGAATGACCACCAGCATGATGTGATGATATCACGTGCAAGCCACATATAATTTGATGAGAAGGTTATAGGGGCACTGGATTAAATTCACATTTTTTAGCGATGGTCATTTGTAGAAAGTGTGGTTTTCTAAAAGGTACTGCAAGGTTGGTTGCATAAGAGAAGTGCCACAGCATCAGAATCAAGAGCAGAAGCCTGACTAATTAAGCAGCAATGCCAACATGTCCTAACTAATAACTAATAACAATGCCTGTGAACGAAAACAGCCATTACAATGGTTGAATAGTGAAGACGAATAGTTTAGGCACAATTCCAACGAACGCAGTTTCGGTTTCTATGTCACAGCAACCTTCACAATGTTTAGAATCAAGAGAAAAAAACAAAATAACTAAAAAATTTTGTTGCTTTTTTTTTTTTTTTATTTTTAGGGCAATTTGAATTGTCTTAAAGAATTGCTCCTACCTCTAAACTGTCAATGTACTGCAGAATGTTGGGATGCCTTAGTGTCTTGAGCCGTTTGACAGATGCCTTGGCTGTGTCCAACTGAAGTAGGGCCAGAACAACGTTAAACAATATTCGATGAAAACGCGCACTGAAGGGAGAGGTTTCACCGAGAGCTCACCAGAACATCGTTGCCTCCCTTCAGCTCAAACACGAATATAGAAACCTCTTGACCAGAAACCTGCGAATGACAAGGGTATGCGATCGATTTGTTGTGTTAAGGAGCTTCTATGCTATGCACAGAAGGCGGTGAACAAATACAAAAAAAATGACCATAGCAACAATTTGTGAACGAAACTGATGTGTTATTGTGGCTTTGCCACGACATCGCACGGCGTGCGACCATCGCGATTTCGATTTTGAAAGCCGACGCGTACCTTTTTTTTTCCCTTGTGTAATTGCCAGATTGATTTGTCTTCTAGGCCGGGCACCAGTTCGCCGACCTCGTACCCAAAGTCTTTGGCAGGGTCGCGAGCAAAAAAGGACCACATCTTCACGAGCGAATCACCAGTACAAATTCTACCACAGTTCCTGGGAGCTCGTCGCGAAATGAGAGCTGTCAATCTCAAAGAACGCCCGAAATCTCTGTTCGAACGTTGCGCAGCTTATCGGCACGCATTTCTCAACGTTGGGGAGGTAACTACGTCCTCGCCTAAACGACAGATAAAACGTCAAACTTCGATTTCTACCAACGACAACGATTGCACACGAAAAATCATCTTGCCATCACATCAAATCATAAACAGGTGGTGTCTGCTACAACCTGACACAAATACTCAAATTTTAAAACTTTAAATTAGCTAACAAAACTAACGCAATAGTAATAATTTTAGAATTTAATAAGACATAAATGCAATTTTTTAAAGTCGACTACTAATTTTAAAGTTTTGGTATCGATGTTTCGTTCCTGTCGCGCCTGCCTTTGAGTACACCATAAACAAACATGGCGTCGTGTGGAGCATCAGCGACGGGTCCTCTCGTCCTAAGAGTAATTTCCAACACTGTTAAAATAGTTAACAGCGCCGGAAAGATAATCAAGGACATCATGAACAGTGGAAACCTCGGAATCGTCGAAAAGGTTTGTGATTTTTGTGCAGTCTGTCAGCGGATTCGCGGTTAGTTGTTCGCCGACCGCAGCGGGAAGCGAGCGTTTAGCGCAAAAATACTTAATATATGCTTATGTTTAAGGTGATATTTGTAAGAAGCGAGGTTCGTAAGAATGTATTTGTCTATAATTGCAGCGGTGCCACCGCCTTTAATGTACGGGTGTTTCGAATAATCCGTTATCTCAACGCGCCCCGCAGCTGTCGAAGGCCGTTCCACAGACAGAACTTCATTTTTCCTTTTTTTTGTGTGCGCTTAATAACTTTGCTTTCTCTATTCTCTCGCCTATTTCACTTCGCTTTTTCATTTTGTTTAGTCTGGTGATCCAAGGACGCTGCATCCGCTCGCACCGTCGCGCTGTTAACGTCCCCGCTTTAATGACATACGTTGAAGGACGGAAAGTCTGATGTCCATTTTGGAGAATGCTACGGCGAGCACGTCTTTAAAGATAACATTTTTTTTTTTGTTTTTTGTTTTTTTGATACGACTGTTGTAAAAAGTAAAACTTCTCTTCTTCCTTCTTTTTTTTTTGCGTTTTTATTGTTTGCCTACGTTTGAACGTTTTCGAGGTAAACAAACCAGGTGGTCAAGGATTTGATGTATCATAGTTTTCAGATATAGGATTAAAACTTAGATATTTCTAGTGATAGTTACTGTTGTGACTATACAGTTATTGTGCCTGTTTTACAGCTGCTTTCTTTTTCCGTGGTAAGGCTTGCCATTAAATATCAGAAGCTGCACTGCTAATGACCGGTATTCATTACCTGAGCTCATTGTTATCATAAACGACACTAATAAATTTACAGCTTTTATGACCTTCCTCCCCCGCCCCCCTCCCATAACTAGATTACAGTGTGTTTATTGCTCTCTATGCCAAAGTGCCTCTTTTTTTTTTTTATAGCCCTCAAGGAAAGTAAGTTATGATGATGATGATCGTAAGTCAATAAGAGCAGTTGCATTGCTATTGCCTACGCTAGAGAACATTGGAGTTTGAAACAGGTCAATGATTGAGCAGTGGCAGGTACATGCGGGCTGATATTTATGTTTCCTTTTCTGTTTTTCTAAAACAGGAAGGCATCAATGACCTGCAAACGGAGGCAGACAGATCTGTTCAGCGCTGCATTGTGACTTCGCTCTCGAGACAGTTCCCAAAACTGACAATAATTGGTGAAGAGGTATGTGCAGCTCTCTGTGCCCTGGAACAGGTTGCATAGTCCTTTTTTTCTTTTTTATTAGTGCACATTACAAAAGTTCTAAATTGCTGCAAGACTGGCAAAGCTTTGACCAAATGTCTTCATTAGTATATATTTTCGGTGTAAAATCATGGAGTCAAGGTGTCAGGAGTGCCATTAGATCATGAAATTGTTGATTTCTAAGTTTGTTGGAATTTTTTTTATTATATTTCAGACAGCTTGATTGGATAATTGTTTTTTTTATTATTATTGCACAAATATTAAATTACCTTTTTATTTTTATTGTAATTAAAATATTTCACATCTTTATTGTGCTATGTAAAGTTAGTGAAGTTTGAAGCAGTTCAGCTATGGGTGCATCAAACGATAAGTTACAGAATATTAGTTGCACAAATATTCAGCTATTCAATTGCTCTTTTCGTAATAAAACATTTGGCATTTCGATAGGGCTACATTAAGTTTGATGCTGGCCTACGGATCCCCAGGTGGCGGGTTCGAATCCCGGCCGAGGTGCTCGCATTCTGATGGAGGCTCATTGCGAAGTAGGCTCCGTGTAACTAGGGCAGGGGTGGCCAAGCTGCGGCTCGCAAGCCGCATATGGCTCTTCACGTGTTAAAGTGCGGCTCGCGGCTCCCTCCCTTAGTCCTCCCCCCCCCCCCACACACACACACACACACACTCCCTCACCTCTCTCCCGGTCACACGAACACTTCCCCCAAAAAAATAAATGGAACGCGTTTTAAATCAAAAGAGAGGTTGAAATCTGGAAGTCTTGTGCTACTGCTACCTTAAGTACAGTTGAACTGCTTTTGAATCGGATAGAGTGAAAGTAGTTTGAGTTTCGTTTATTGCTCTGGACAAATGAAAGCTTTCCTCTCGCCCTCCCCCCCCCCCTCTCCCCGCGGCTCTTGGAAGTTTCATGGTCTTGTTTGAGGCTCTTAGGCTGGGTCAGCCTGGCCACCTCTGAACTAGGGTGACCAGACGTCCCGTTTTGGACAGTCCGAAACGGTCCCGTTGTAGAGGTTTATTTTGGCAGTCCCGTCATTTTGTCCTCCAAAAAGCCTCCTATCTCGTTTTGTGAAAACATGCTTTAAGGGCCCCTGAAAAAAGAAAAAGGTTGTTTTTAAACAGTCTGGTTGGGACACGTCTGTCAAAAAGTTAATTTTACGCGAAAAAGGTTTTTTTAGAGCAATATTTATGGCGCAAGACTGGGTTTAGTCTGTAGTCACTGTTATCTGTGTTGCAGGTGCTCGTGCCATGCTAGCAGCGCGCGCAAGGGACTGTCGCATGAAGTGCTTGACTGACTACCTACTCGAGCGATAGCATACAGCCGCGTTCCAATCGGACTGATTACCGTAACCTGTTTTTCTTGTAAATACACTACAGTCACCTCCTTTCCACTTGTTTTCTCTCTCTGCCTTTCGGGCGCGTAGAGGAGAGGTGGATCGGCTTCGCCTTCACGTTGAGATGGAAAGAGCAAGTGACCATTCCGGGACGTCATGGGCTTTGAGCGCAGAATTTCAAATAAATCTCTCGCCGTCAATATTGCTCTAAAAATATTTTTATTTTGTGTAAAATTTATTTTTTGACATGCGTGTTCCAACCAGACTGTTTAAAAAAACATTTTTTTTTGTTTTCAGGGGCCCTTTACAGGGCAACTCCTCTCAGTTCTAAATATTTCGGGATTATAAGTGACTTCACATTAAAAAGCACTAATAAAACACACCACATCATTTGCTTCACCAAAAATTAGATATATATTGTTAAATCTTAGTTTAAAAACAAGCAGAATTCGAAACCGAAACTTCAGATCCCTTTAGCAACATTAACCTTAATCCGCCAAGTTACGAAATGATAGAGGGTAAGCTAATTAGCGAAGGAAAGAAATCATACTTTTGGTTCTTAATTTCTAGGCTAGGTGGTGCAAGCTACTGCCCGATATAAAGGGTACAGCCATTAGTATCCACCCATCAATCCAGACCATGGCTATCATATAGAATGAGATGTCACGTGATCCTCTACGTAACAACAGGCAGCATTGGGGCAGGCGCTAGTGTCATCTGCACCGCACTCTTCACCACATTTTGGTGTCTACGACATTTGACGAAGTCTGCACAACTGTGGCATAAGTCTGAGCAGATTGTGTCCATAGTGGGAACGAAACTCCGAGAGATAATATTCACAAACGGTAAGACGACGACGGCGGTAACGACCGAACGGGCCGGAAGGCTTTCAAGAAGCGCGCTGTGCAGGTGTGTTACTCCGAATACGTGAACACCGCAGAGCGCTGAGAGGAAACGTTGCTAACGTCACCCTTCACGCTTGCCCAGAGAAATAAAAACAAGCAAAAAGGGGCAGTGGTGATGATGTTTAGTTCAATGTTGGCTGCGCCAACGCCGTAGCCTTGACTGCGCTGTTGGTTGTCCCTCCAGTCGCCCACTTTAGTTAGCCCATCTCAGCAACTTGGAGAGTTGCAAAGTTTGCCAGACCGTCTAAGAAATATTTAGTCAGAACCAGGTTGTAATATTTGACGTGTAATCTATCTAGGTGACACTGAAGAGGACTGCATTGCTTTTTCAAAAACAAAAATGAAGCAGTGTTACCCTTTAATGGCAAAATCAGTATTAAGCAAGGGGAAAAACACCGGTAGAATGTTTGCTCGTTGGTTGTTACAGACATTATTTCATAAAAAAATTAAATATGGCATGAAAACATAATTATTTGTGGCATAAAACTTCAAGCTCATTCTGTGGTTACATATGCCTGTGCATTGTTTTCGCATTGACGTGCATATATAAGAGAGCCATTTCCTATGTTAATGATTTTGGCAGGCTCCTGTGGGCAACACTTCTTCCGTTTTTAAAATGGGGAAGAAAGGCACTTTTGTTTTCAATGAAAAGCTCCGAAAAAACATGTGTCGTTTAACGTTGAACAAATAATATAAAAAATATTTTGTTCAAAAAAGTATTCTTCTTCATTTCATAAAGGTTTTAAAAAAGCATATGAGTAGTTTGGTGCATTTTTGAGGCACAAGTTCAGATTTCTCCTGACAATTCACTCACAATGACAGCGACCATTCAGTCGCTGCCATTGTCGTCAGTCGTACGGCCGTTCATGACATGCATTGCGTCCTTCTTGTGACAGACTCTGGAGGAGAAAAAGATCAGCGACGACTGGATCATCACCGAGCATGACAAGGATGTCCTGGCCACCTCTCTGCCGGACAACCTGAAGAACATCAAAGAGGAAGATGTAGGACAACCTTTCTTTCTGAAAAATCATTGTGTTTGTTGCATTGTGCTATGGGAGTTTTAAATGTTTAAAGAAATTTTAATAGCAACAGGGCCCGTTTGCTCGAAGCCGGTTAACTTTAACCGCGGTTAAAAGTTAACCGCCCTTCCCTACTAGGTGCCTACAAGTACCTAGCCAAGTTTGACGAGGGCTGGATGAGCGATAGCTCCGTGTTTTATTATGGGGTGGTAGCTGGTGTCACCTACTGGCTGTAGCGAATGTACGTGGCTTCCGTGGAAAGGTTCTGAAATGGGGGGACCCAAAAAACGCGCGCTGCCTGGTTTTCGCGACGCAGCACGGCATACATTTGAGCTTAGAAACAATTTTTATTGCTCGTGGTACAAATAATCGGCAAGGTAAAACTAAATTAACCATTGTTTGGAAATCTTCTAAATATTTGGCTGTATGAAGTGAAAAAAAGCCTCGTTGAAATTTCCTCCCGAGTTCGAAAGAGGACGACGAAGTTGAGTTCTAGAAACAATGAGAAAGAAGTGAGCGATGAAAGGCGGGCGGTACATTGGCAGCATGGTTGGCCAGCATGTAAGAACCGTATATAACACCGTCATAAATTTAGAAACCTCTAGTTCGGCTCCACTGAAAATTGACCTATTAGTAAATTACCCGAGCATCGGGAAGAACGCTGGAGGTGTAATTCTACGATCCGCGCGCGGTGGCCTTCCACTTATAAAAGATTTGTAGTAAATAATCACAGTAAGGCTTTGACGAACGCGCGTGCACGGCAAAATTTGTTTTAGGCTTTTTGCTTCAGAACAGTTATTACTGCAGACGCCAGCACGTGCAGCGCGTGTAACTACACTTGTAGCATGCACCTCGGTGCTTTTGAAATTTAGCAAAAGGTCTATGGGAACGCTCGCTGCTTTTGTGTGCTATCAATCCCCGGCCGATTGAGTCAAGGCAATCCACTTTCCAAAGACGTTGCCATGCCAACAACTATCGCGTTCATTTAGGCTTGGCAATGGCCAGAGTCGAAAGTCTATCTAAAAAAATGCGGCGAGGTCATTGCTCATGCTTTGTGTTTTAAGTGAGGTAAGGCAACGCGAAAACCTCCTGCACCATTCATTGCTGACTAACGCGCCCGCTACTGCAGCTACTACGACGTATTAGTGCCAAAGCGAGCGGCGCTCACTCACCGGGCACCGCCATGTTTCCCCGCCGTCCTTACTCTGCCGGTCACGTGACCCAAAATTCCCCCTCGTAGGGAAATCCGGTTAACCGCGGTTAGTTAACCAGCTTCGAGCAAACGGACCCTGAGGCTTTATTAAACACAGACATTTTAGGAAGAGACCGTAGTGCAACTGTATTGTTCCGCATTTGAAGAGAGGGAATTCTCTTCCGGAAACGTATGTGTCAACTAAAGCCTCTGTGGCTCTTTGAATTTCTCTCAATGTTTATAACTTTGTGAATGAAAAATATTTTAAAGTGTGTTCAATTGAAGCTTCAGCAGGGTCCTTGCAAGATTTGCAGGCAAGCTGGAATCGTTTAAAATTTTGGCTGTCCTGACTTAGTTTGTCACAAGATACTGACTCTTTAAATTTTTTCTTTTCTACAGGATATTTTAAATCATGTTACCATGCGAAATTTGTTAAATAATAAATATTTGTCATGTGAAGTATTGAATCGCTGAAATGAGATGACTGAAATAAGAATCAAAGTTTTGCTTTGTGCAACTCTGTAAATAATGTGAGGAAATTCGTAAGTATGGGGGGGGGGGGGGGGGGGTGGGATTGCATGCACCTATAAGCAAGATTTGTTTTCTATGCTGTTGTAGGAGAAGTACAATATAACACAACTAAAAAATGAAGACAGAAAGGATGGCTAGATTTTAACGACCGATTGTAAGAGGCAATAAGAAAAACCTGTCTACAGCTGTAACAAAAAAAAAAAAAAAAAGACCTAAAATTTGTCTTTTTTGGGTCTTTTTCTATCGACATTAAGGACTTCACACTTCGCATCGCCTTCCACGCCGAAGTCTGTGATATTTGACATTGCTGAAGCAGAGACATATATCTTCAAAAGGGTTTTGCACCTGTATTCACTGACAACCTAAATTATCATGCATTGTTTTTATGGTAATAAACATAGTATGCAGTTAGAGTTGCATAATACATGTTGATACACAGGTCCAAATTAGGATGTTGGTTTTAAGCTTAGCCTCTGTCATTATCTCAGAGGTCAGTGTGTACTAGTATAGTTTGAGGTGCCACTGGACTAGGTATTAACTTGTGCCTTGCTTTCTCCATAGTTGGTAGTCTGGGTTGATCCTCTGGATGGAACCAAGGAGTACACACAGGGTAAGAGAAAGTTTTTGTGACGTCATTTTTTTCTCTGCTTGAGTTGCCAACTTGTTTCCTGTTCAGGCGACGACACGCTCACCTCTACGTAACCACATTTTGTGGTTGTATGTTACAGTTATCATCGAGACTCATTTTAAGATATAGACTCCCGGGACCCCAAACATGCCGCATATAGACAGGACTGGCTCAGAAGCACTTGTTTTGGTTATGACATGTCTGGTATGAATCTAGAGTCACTGGTTGCTGGCAGTGCATGGTCACTCTGGGATTCCTTGGCAGGATCTCTCATGCACATGTGTTGGCATGTGAAGCCCAACTTCCTGTGGTAGCCCACCTTTCAAGACCTGTGACCATGTTCATAATGACCTCCACTCATCCATCAAGTGTGATCTTTTTTTGCTGTATGAATGCCCACATGCTTTCCTCAAACACAGCACGTTGCCAAAAATTACCGAACATGCGCCCATGTTGCAATAAGTGTCCACCCTTCTGCTTTTAGAATATTTGAAGAGAAAGGACATATCAAGTGCCCACCCTAGCAAACTTATGAGCCCACTGAGGTGACCAAGGGGCACCTCCGTGTCTGCTGCTTCTCCGAGGAGCGGTGTAAAACAGTGAAGTTTTATGCTTTTGCACCGGTGCGAAGTGGGGAAGCTTGACGTGAAAGTGCCGGCACAAAGGAAGCTTGACGAGGGCGGCGTGGCTGCTTTAAAAATTAGAAGTTTTGCCAAGGCCAATACTGTTCTGTCAAATCAAGTAAGAGCCTACCGTACCATGTGCCCTTTCTTACCTTACTCTCCAACCTACAAAATGTCTATCCCCATTTTTTTTTTTTTGATTATCTGCAACTTTAGTGTGGGTGCTTGCTTTCAATATTCTGTGGTAGATTTTGACTCATTTGTGACTTTAAAGATAAAACCACTAGACTTAGAATACAGATATCAGGTTCTCTGCATGGATTCAATGTTCTGTCTCCACCTGGTGGAGATTTTGTCTCCAGACCCGATTTTCGTTGTTGGACAATTGTTCTGGGGCCAGGCTTCTGAAGGGAAATCTTTAGCTGCATACATAGTGGTAACGAGGTTCTATGATCTTTGTTGACCACAAGCAAAAATGCATCGGTGGGGTCTTAAAAGGGTTCATTCCTTGACCCTCACTTAATTTTTTATCCCAGAATTAAGTTGTGAGGAATTAACAGAGTAAGATGTAGCATGGCGACCCTGCTTTTCTATTAGAGGCAATCACCGGGCAGTGTGCGATATCTCTCACCGCCTGCGAAGAGTTATAAAAAGGCTGGGGGTAAGAAAACTTGGCTGAGAAGGGCAAGGGCAGGAATCATACTTTTTGGTTGTTTTTGGTTTCTAGGCTAGGTGGTGCAAGCTACCGCCCGCTATAAAAGGTACGGCCGTTAGCATCCACCCATTCATTCAATCCATTTGTCACATTCTGCCCAGTAAAATATGATAACCATCCCGGACGCTGTGATAGGGGTCGCTAAAATTATCTGTTTCGAGGGATGCTTACCTTTCTCGATTGATGGCCGAGGAATCGCATCAATGCCCCTCCCAACATTGGGGCAGGCATAGTCGGTCAGTGACAGGCTAAGAATGCACTGGAAGCTCCACCTCCAGCACAAGCTCATTGCCTCCCACTGCGCTTTGGCCGCACAAGCGACAAAACATTATCAAAGGCAGAAAGCTTGCACTTGGGGCAGAGCTCCTTCCACATTCCTAACCTGTAACCGTAGGTAGTGCAGGTACTTACAAACCTCGTCAACAATAATGCATATACTAGGGAGTCATAGTTACCATGTAACACTTTCCGTCCTGAATTGGATTTCCGGTTTTTCACTGTGTTGTGTGCATGCGGGTGCCCGGAAAAAGACCAGTTCTCGTCCGTCGGGAGCAATCTTTCTTCTTGCGACTGACGAAATGCTTCTTCGCGGCGCGGCAGCTTGCTACGCCTCTTATCAGGAGCGCTGTTAGCAGAGACCGGAAACAGAAACATGACACACTGTTTTCACTGTTTACGAAATGAAACTCGCAAACTATCTTGGAGAAGTGGTTGCTTATAACATTGTCAGAATTCTTTCACGCCCATAGCGAAAGGATGGCGGATAAAAAATTGGGAAATTTTGTGCGAATCGGAAGTGGGCCCTGACTGCCCAACAGGTGGCACCACTGAGTTTTCGGCCAAACACGAAAGGCCAAGAGAGGATGCTCTCACGAAGGGGTGGGAGTGTTTTGACGCGACTTGGAACAAAAACATGGAAGGTGAGGAGGGCGAGATTAACAATAGAACAAGCCCTGCACAGATTTTGCTTGCTTGTGTCAGTGTTGGTAATACCATGCCAAGGCCATGGGAGAGAGTTTCGGCAACAAAGTGCAGCTATTGGTCTGACATCATGGCACGTGCGACCAGTGGTGTATTTATTTATTTATTTATTTATTTATTACCTACGTTGCCCAGGGGCTTATTATTATAAGGGGACATAATACTGAAGGCATAATACCACTCTGAAGAAAAGGTGCGGTGCAAGGTAAGCAGCGCGCTAACACTTCCCCTCCTTCGTTGTGTAAGAACGGGGGCTGCATAGTAGGGTAAGAACTGCGGAGGCATCTCACAGATAGATTGTTTGCATGGCACATTTCAGAGGAAATGCTGCAGTGTCCCCAGAGCAGACTTGTGCCGTACGCATTACAAGTAATCAAATTACTTGTAATTGATTACTTTTTGGAGTAATTTTGTAATCAGTTGATTACTTTTATTAGGCAGTAATCACAAGAGTAATTTGATTACTTTTTGAAGTAATAAAATTACTTGTAACCGTTACAATTTGTCCACGGGAACCCTCCCCCCCCCCCCCCCGGCACACGCCTTTTTTTAATGAATTGCCAAAATTAAAATTTGATTTTTTTTTTTTTTTGAACGGAAAAAAAGAGATTTTTGCGGAGCTGTAGGAAACGAGGTCAATCTCTTTCTATGTACAGTTTTTCGTGGAATGTTCGTTTCTTCTTTTTCGAGCTGGGACTGGGAGTGGGAAGCCCCAGGGAAGCCACATGCCGTGACAAAGGCCATTCAGGGCGAAGTTTGAGGGAACAGAATGTAGCCTTGTGAGTCCTTCGTTCAAACTAGCCCCCTCACGCACACACACACAGAAATAAAAAAAAATTAAAAAATCCTGCTTAGGGTACCTACTCGCAGCCCGTAGGAGAACCAAAAACGAAGAATGCCTAAAGCGGATGCAAAATAAAAGAAAGGCAGTTGAAAAATATTTCCCCATTTAAACTACGTTGTTTTTGAGACAAGCAATGTTTAGAGTTGAGAAGTGGTCGGGGCGATCTCTTCCGCTAATGGATACTACACATGATCTGTTTCAAATCCTGGAGCTGCTGCTCTTTTGTATAACATGCGAGCTCATCCACATGTGAACAATAAAATGAGCGACGCAAACTTTGAGCCACAACCCTTGCTCAAGCTTAACAAGATCTATAAGAACCCCCTCCGCTCCCCCCCCCCCCCCCCCCCCCCACACACACACACACACACACTGGCGAACACCCAATCCATTAAACGTCTTCAAACGAATTCTATGCTTGTGTCCGCATTGTGAAGGTGCAACGACCACGAAGAGGGAGCCAGTTTTTCTTCTTCAATACTTGTGCAAATGTGAAATATAGGTTGGAAGTAGTTCATTGTTATGAGCACTAAAGATGTGTATTCACACAATAAAGTAATTGGAAAAGTAACGATTACTTCTTTAAGTAATGTCCAGTTACTTTTGCCGTCGAGTAATCAAGTAATCTAATCGAATACTTTTTAGCCAAGAGTAATAGTAATTGTAATCGATTACTTTTTTTTAGTAACGTGTACAAGACTGCCCCAGAGGCAGACTTAGCATTTTGCCACCCTAGGCAGCCTTCAACTGTGCCCCCCACTCCCCCCTACCCACCCCACCCCCACTCCCCCTGTTCAGTGACTATGGGGAGTGGCTAAGTTTGGGGTTGGTTAAAATTTTCAAAAGTAGCTAGATTTGGAGCTAAAATTCCCAAAGTAGTTAAATTTGGAGCTGGATTTAAAGAAAGAGGGCCAACTATTTTGGCAGCGGCTGTCAAGTGCTATCACACCTCTGTTGCATTAGACGGAATGTCTAACCCAGGTGGGGGAGACTGGTGGCCGAATTTGTTGGCGCACCTCAGCTTGGAGCACGTCGTGTGAAAGCTCACTCTTCAGAACCCAGGGATCCTGGGCTCAATCCCCAGCCGTGCCCATTTCTATCTGGACAAGCATTGTGCCGGCGTGCGGTCATGTATCGCCACTGCATCATGCACGTTGAAGACCCCAGGCTTGCGGCGTTACTGCACTGGCTAAATTTCTTATCTACGACAGAGTCGCCAGTTGCCCGCCGGGGCTGACTAAGTTCCTGTTGTATAAACAGATATGCGACAAAACAATTATATTGGTAAGCCCGGCAATTTTTCCTCAGGTTTCCTGGACCACGTGACGATCCTGGTGGGGATTGCGGTTGACGGTAAGGCAGTGGGTGGAGTGATCCACCAGCCGTACTACAACTACCAGGTGAGGAAAGCCGGGCTGCCCACCTGGTGTCGCTTCGTCCGTCGTCTGCGTCTTCCGGCCGCTCTGACGCACCATGGCACGCTTCTCTCTCTCTCCACACCTCTGGCTCGAAGCAGCAGGAGCAGCAGCAGAGCAGCAAGGGGAAGGAGGCACCTGCTTGGGTCTCTTTCTTTTCTCTCTTTCTCTTTTTCACTTTGTTCCTTTTCTTGGCTCTGTTGCTTGGCAGGGCTTGCTGTGCTACTCGAGGTGTGCTGATGACCCGAACCCTAGGGGCTAACGTGGCCGCTGTTCCGAGCCGCTCGTACATTCTGAACTGCACTCGTTCTCATCGAGTGCAGATTTTGGTCAGGTCCTTGAAGCGGTATTCATATGAGGGAGAAATCCCAGGGGTTCCTCCCTGGAGCATGTGCGCCGTGAGTAAAACGTAGCTCTTTTGCAATGCAGCTTAGTGACACCAGCTCCGCGATGTAGTTTGGAAGGAATGCTTGGATGGTACCAACAATCTCGGTTCGGCATTGAATCAGTCTGCTGTTGTTAAAGTCTTCGCTGAAAAGTGTAGAAACTGCTTAATTTGTGTCAGGCGGTTCCAAGGGTAAAAACCAGACTTGTACCGTACGCATTACAAGTAATCAAATTGCTTGTAATCAATTACTTTTTGGAGTAATTTTGTAATCAGTTTATTATTTTTATTAGGCAGTAATCACAAGAGTAATCTGATTACTTTTTGAAGTAATAAAATTACTTGTAACCGTTACTATTTTTCCACGGGACCCCCCCCCCCCCCCCTTTCACACACTTTTTTTTGTTCTAAAATGTCAAAAATAAAGTTTGCTTTTTTTTTTTTTCGAACGAAAAAAAAAAAGAAAGATTTTTGCGGAGCTGTAGGGAACGAGGTCAACCCCTTTGTGTGTACCGTTTCTGTGGAATGTTCGTTTTTTTTAGAGCTGGGACTAGGAGTGGAAAGCCAGGGAATCCCCAGTGCATGACAAAGGCCATTTAGGGCGAAGTTTGAGGGAGCAGAATGTAGCTTTGTAAGTCCTTCGTTCAAACTAGCCCCCTCACACACACACATAGAAATAAAAAGATAAAAAAAACAAAAAACAATCCTGTTTACGGTACCTGCTCGCAGCCCGCAGGAGAGCCAGATCCGAAGAATGTCTAAAGCGGATGCAAAATATAACAAAGCCCCATTTCAAACATTTCCCTATTTCCCCTACGTGGTCTTTGTGACAAGCAAGGTTTCGAGTTGAGAAGTGATCGGGGCGATCTCTCCCGCTAATGGATAGTACACATGATCCGTTTCAAATCCTCGAGCTGCTGCTCTTTTGTATAACATGCGAGTTCATCCACATGTGAATAATAAAATGCCTTCCTCCCCCCCTTCCCCCCCCCCCCCCCCCCAACTGGCGAACGCCCAAATCATTAAACTTCTTCAAACGAATTCTATGCTTGTGTTTGCATTGTGAAGGTGCAACGACCACGAAGAGGGAACCCGTTTTTTCTTCTTGAATACTTGTGAAAACGTGAAATATAGGTTGGAACTTGGAAGTAGTTCATTGGTATGAGCGCTAAAGAGGTCAGTCTTCACACAGCAATCGGAAAAGTAACGGTTTCTTCTTAAAGAAATGTCCAATTACCTTTGCTGTCGAGTAATCAAGTAATCTAATCGAATACTTCTTAGCCTAGATTAATAGTAATTGTAATCGATTACTTTTTTTTAGTAACGTGTACAAGACTGGTAGAAACTACAAAATTCTACCGCCAACCTCCTCACATCCCTCCCATAGGCACCTCGTCTGTGCAAACGATAAAGTTGAGAAGAAAGTTGCAGTCACTGGTTAAGTCACACACTTCTCTCCGCAGATTTCTTCCCTGTGTGAATATCACTTGAGCTTCCATGTTCATGGAGTTTTTGGGGTATTTTTTTTAATGCCTAAATAAATTGAATATCTTGGTAGTGTTAAAATGTTTGTCAATTATCTTTCTGAATAATTTTCTTACTGTAAACGCCTACAAGTCAAGAAGAGAAGCTCCTCCCACAAGCGTGATGCTCCCGTTTCAAATCCTTCCGCAGTCAAAAAAATAGTTCACTGGAATTGCCTCTTGTTCCGCTTCAATGGATAGATATTGGCTTCAGAGAGTGATGTCAACTTGTCTCCGACCCCCACTTTTTAAGAAAGCGACGTTTGAGTTCATGAGAGAGGGAACTGAGCGCCTGAAAGTAGCCTTTGTATCCATCGGAGGGGGAACCTAACCCCCAAAAGTCGTATTTGTTTCCATCGGAGGGGGAAAACTCTTATCACTCTCTTGTGGCTTCCACAACGCTAAGTCAAAGTCAAAAGATGGGGCAAATATTTACAGGAAGGCAAGATTCTCCTCCACATTGGCCACGACGTTAGGGAAACGATGGCACGCTATTGGATGCAGAAGTGGCAGAAGAATATATGAATCCCTTTGAGGGGCATTGGCCGCTACCTTCTTGACCTGTAACTTAGTATAGTTGGTTAGCAAATTCCTGAGGCTATAAGTGGGGGGGGCAGGGTAAGAAAAGAGAGGTTGTCTATTTCCCATCACTTTTTATGCATTCTGATGAGAGAAAGTATGTGTCATTTCTCAACCCTGCCTCAGGGCTATTAAGGCCAAGTTTGATTACCAGGCATCCACATTAGGTGACGTGACATGTTTTTGCACCGTGATAAGGTATCCACACAGGTTATTGTTATGTATATTTGGCTGTTTTTGGTGGTCTAGCTTTGGTTCCCGCTCCTTCATGGCAGTTTCACAATTTTCTTTGGACACTATTTTAACTATGACTAGTGTTCTGTGTTTTTGGTACTTATACCAATAAACCCCAAAATACAACTCCCAAACCGATTTTATCAAAATCAAGGGAAACCGACTGTGCTTGGATAAAAAAAAACCAAGCTTCGCGGGAACAATTCTTTATCCACAGCATTATTTTGTGTTGACCCAGGATAAACCCCCAATGAACTGCCCCCCCCCCCCCCCCCCCCCCCCCCCCCCCAAGACTGTTTCTGTTTTTTTTTCGTAAACCACACTCCTTATCTTGTATTTTCTTATCTGTACTGGACCTTTTTTTTTTTTGGTCACGCACATGATTCTTGTAGGTTGGGAGATCCCATGCCCACGTCCTGGTGTCTTTAACATAACTTTCAATAAACACCAATTTTTGTGCGACACCTAAAATTTCCGCCGAAAAACATCTAATCTGGGGGATAAAATTGACCATGAGAAAACAACCCCCGAATTAGAAAATAAACCCCGAAAAATGTGGAACCCTAACTATGTTTGGGATTCAGCACTGATCGAATAGTAGTAGCAAGCCCAAATGGTAGTGTGTTTCTGTAGTCTTTTTATATAAGGCTGCCGTTCTTGAAAACCACTCTGTTCACTTTTTTTTCCTCTTTTGACTCGTTTCTTTCTGCCTGTTGCTTCTTGCAGTGTCCTTGTTCTTTGACTAGCATAGTAGGGGGCTTCCCCATCGCACTAATAGATCGCACTCTTGCTATGAATCAAAGTGTGGAGAAACGAGTGCACTGTGTGAGACATCTTCACTCAGCCACCTTGCCTCCCTAACCTTTCCGACATTCTTGATTAAAGTGCAATGGCTCCAAGGTTCACAAATTCTCAAACACTGTTGATTGCTTTGATACAGAGTGCAACATCAGATGTGTTTAAAAGAGTAGGACATTTTTTTTTATATTCCAGATATAGTTCTAGTTTGTTGTTTTACTTACTGGGCTGTGTTATAGCAACTACTGTAGGCCACTAGTAAGTAGCATAATGAATTGGTAATATTGTGTGGCTCATTTGTAAAGGGCCTAAGCCAAAGGACTGTTTCACTTAGGCGTAGGGTTCATAAAAAATATAGGTACTACACATACCTCAAAATAGGAGACTTTCCGTGTCTTTCAAGAATCTTAATGTTTTGGGGGGCCACTGACAACCCCAACGTCAATACCCCTTTTATTATATCTCAAGTGGGTTCCTTCACAATTCTCCCTTACTCACTGAAGTGTGTACTCATAATTACATCCTTGAGTACTCCTTGGGCTAGTACACATGCTGCAGTTTGAAAAACACTTTATATGGATACAAAACAGTACAAAGAAAGATTGTGTTTGAAAGTACTTGAAAGTACATTGTGTTTCTAGTATTCTACTTGAAGTACATTGTGCCCTGTGTAATTAGTATGTTGCTTACAACTCCTAGTTTGTACTTAACTTCAAGTACTTCTTGGAGGCACCGTATCTTCCGATGCGTAAGTCGCGTTTTCTAAATTTCCGCTGGTGCGTCTCATGCATCGGTGCGACTTTTATGGATGCTTTTTTTTTCTATAAGTATGAACCTTAAAGGGGTAGTGCAATGACTCTGATGTTGAAAGAATTGGCAGTTTGTATTTTTTATATTGTTTATCCAACCACAAGTGACCAAAAACGCATCACCTTTCCCCAAAAAACTGCTATTTCGCTGCGTAATCGCAAAGAAAAAAACAAACTACAGTGCAATCCACTTATAACGATAATTAAATTACCCAAAAATGCAATCACTATTACAAATTATCGTTGTATCTGGACTAGAAACTGGTCATTTCTAGTCTAGAAACTCTGCAAACTGATTGTTATAAGCAGTATATTGTTATATGTGGTATCGTTATAAGTGGATTGCACTGTATTTGCCGATCCACAGCCGCGTGTGGCGGTTACGAGAAACATGGTGACGGCGTCTCTGGGGGATATATGGAAGTCAACAAAAACCTGTCCCCCTCCGCTGCTACACTCGCCGTCAGCCCCGTGGCAAACCGTCCATTGTGTCGATCGCTCGCCGCGACTTTCGACGATGGTAATCCTTTAAAAGTCGATAATTGTGGAGGAAGCGGCTGGGTTCTCTGAAGAGAGGACCCAAGGGGAAACCATGTGATCCCCCAGGGTACATCACTCGAAAGTCAACGTGGAGAGTTGAGAGGCACTTCGACCTTCGATTTGTTTCACTTTTTTTTAAATAAGAACTAGCGCTCATGAGAAAATATGGTTTTCTGTTCTTTGTTCGATAGGTGACACAGATGAATTTCCGCAGCTAATTGGCCAAAGCCCGCAAATTGTTGCGCCGTCCTTTTAACTGTGGAAACGTGTCATGGAGATTGTTTCTCGTTCGATTCATAGACTAGACCATTTAAACTGGCTTGTGCTCTTTCTTTTATTGCAGTCACAATACACATATGCGGACTTATCAGTGAAATTTAAAAACGCTGGCCACGCAAATATATAAATGCTACTTATACAAAAGTGCAACTTTTACAGTGATTTACTTGTGAAAACGGCTGTTTATAGGCAGTGCGGCTTATAGACCAGAAAATATGTCACTTCACATAACTTGGGTTACAGGAGAGCTTTGCCGGTGACCGACGTATCGCTCCGCGCGGTGCCCCGCGTTTCGTGGCAGGTGGAGAAGGACGTCTACAAGCAGGGACGTACCATGTGGGGCATTGTCGGCGTCGGTGCCTTTGGGATCTCGCGCATTGCGCCCCCGGAGAACAAGAGGATCATCACTACGACGCGCTCCCACTCCAGCCCCACCATCAACAGCTGCATTGAAGCCATGAATCCGGATGAGGTGCTGCGAGTTGGAGGTGCCGGGCACAAGGTGATTCACCAGGCTATTGATCAGGGGTCACCAAGCTTTTTGACTAAGGGGCCGGATCGAAAACCACTAAATCAGTAATTTTTAGAAATGCTTTAGGCTCTTGGGAAGCGCAGTATTGCACTAAAGTTGCTGCTCGTGCAACAGGTACGAGACTGGAGCTATGATAAGAGACGGAAAAACCGTGCGGGTGCGTTATCAGACCAATAGCCTTGCTCCTGCTGCATGAGCGGTAACTTTAGCACTCCACCGTGCTTCCCAGATGCTCCAAGTCTTTCTGATATTCACTGATTTAGTGATTTTCGGTGATGCTCGGCAAGGTTTTAATTAGAATCATGTTTATTTTCAATAATTAAAGCGTTAATTAACACATTTAGCTAATTTGCCGACTGATTGTTACGATTAGCCGTCTATACTATGTCCCCCCAGCCGTATAACATGCCTGCACAAACCTCATTATTGTAGCTTTTACTGCTTTTTTTAAACAAATCTGTTAAGCTTAAAAAAACAAAAACATGCTGTATATTTAGTGCACATAAATCCCCAAATAAAGCTAGACTTCTGGGGAAAAGTGCATTCTGGATCTCTTTGTTATCTTCCCAGGTGCTGCTGTTGATTGAGGGCAAGGCTCATGCTTACGTGTTCCCTAGCAAAGGGTGCAAGAAATGGGACACTTGTGCTCCCGAAGCGATTCTTCATGCCACTGGCGGCCTTCTTACAGGTTGGTACTATAGTAGTTAAAACTTAGTACAGGTTGTTAGTGCCGTATTTACTCGCATAATGAATGCACCCCCCACAAAGGGTACCAATATTTGGATTTTTTTTTTTCTCTCGTGTAATCAATGCATTTCCAATTTTCGGCTCCGCGTGTCTCGAATTTCATCCAGTTAAGCTAGCCACCAAGCCAATTTTTTTTTGTCACCAAGCGGTCAGGCCAAGACATGCCAAGCCAAGCCATGCCAAGCCAAGCCGCTCTCGTATTGGCTGCAAGTGCATATTTGCGGTAGTTGCGGAAGTGATCAACTGTTAGACCGAGCGGCGCGCACACTTGACAAAACTTGGGTTCAGGGACTGGCCAGCCCCGGACATTCCTTGCCTATTGGATGCATTGATGTCAACAAACGTGCCGTCGTCTGTGGTCCGCTTTTGGACAGTCAAATCGCTAAAGTGGTTAGGCCTAATCTGACGTGCTCCAGGTAAATGTGTTTATTTAATCCGTAACAGAACGGCGTAGCAAGGTGCACGCTGCATAGGTTGAGAGTGTCTGGTAGCCCCTGGTAACAGCCGTCTTCGTGAACGAAACCTGATCCATGCGAGCAGGCCTCGGTGGTCAGCAGTTGGACTTCGTAGGAGTTCTTACACGCGTAGTTGCGGTATATACCTTAGCGCGCCACCGGATACTAGCAATATTTATCCTCTAAGAACGGTTGCGTTGCCTTCCGTGCTGAGTAAGCATCGTAGGGCGCTTTTCCTTTGGCAAAAGGCATGCCGAAAGTGCCCTAAAAAGCTTTGCAATTTATAAAGCTTGGTTACTGTGGCGCGCCCCCGACCAGCCGTGGGTGCACCTCCATCAGCGGAGACATGCCACAGTACCTTGCCGTGTCATATTGGCTCCTAATACGACATTTGCACAAATTGGCAAAGGCAGAAAGTTTACCCCACATGATGAATGCCCCCCCCCCCCCCCCCCCCCCAAACATGTCAAAAAGTGTGTTCATTATGCGAGTAAATCGGTACTTGTGACACTAGTAGAGGTTAGTCACATGTGACAATAGACTCTGGTGTGCGCTAGGCTTGGGCATTCTGGTTCTTCATTAAACAGTGAAATCGTGGAGATTTCAGGGATATCATTTTCATTTTGTTTAGTTTATTGACCTCAAAGGCGTCTTTTGGGGATGCATTTTATGGGGGGGATGGGTGGAGACACAAAATACAGTCATAAGGAAAGATGTAAACATGACAACGCTGATAGGTGTAGTGGCACTGCGTCAATAATAGGCTTGCAACCAAGAATAAAGGTAGCAATTTTGAAGAGAACTATTTATCATCTTGTTACTGACTTTATAGCATTTGGGTTGGCAATGCTAGATCCCAGTATTTTGGCAGGAATGGATTGGGCACATACATAGTACTCTTTGGGTTAACCTCAGAAACTCTGTGCCTTCTATACATTTATTTGTTTATCCTCGAGGCTATATGACGCCATGGAGGAGTGTGGTGCATCCACGTGGCAGGAAATACAAAGGCAAAATGAGCGCACAGTTCTTAGAAAACAAAAGGGTGGAAAAATCACTTCAGATAGCAGATGTGTAAGGAATGGTTGGAATTTTCCAGGTTCCACCTCCCCTCATGTGTTAAGGTGGTGATGCAAGCGAGTTGAAGGTGGCGATGCAAGCGATCGTTGAATTAATTTTTTAGCTAATGTTGAGGACGCTTATAATAATTAAGGAAATCAGATCGCTCTTGAGCTTGTTTGTGCCTCTGTAGTAATTGATGCTCTTTCATACCTAATGCTTAATGCAACAATAATTATCAAGCAATCCTTACTCAGTGTCAGATATGCAAGCAGATGCCAATGCCTCTTGTGTCTGTGATTTTTTCAAAAACTAGTCACTGACACCTGAAGAAATGCACCAAGTCCTGAGTGTCTTATTATTGCTCTGCAGCCAAGAAGATTGAAACATTGGTTGATAAGAATGGCACAGAATGAATCGCTGAGCAAGAAGCATAAACACAATAACCTACGCCCTATGTTTCTCAAGTTGTCCATGACTACGTTACTGTTACGGCTTCAGGGATGCTTCAGATTGCAACTTTCGCCACTCCCATAACTGCCACCAAATTCTCGGGCTTGTTACCATCCCTTTGCTGGCCTTCAGATTATTTTTTTTTCCTCTCTCACAGATGTTCACGGGAACAGATTGGAGTACCACAAGGACGTGGAACACGTCAACGCCGGCGGCGTTCTTGCCACCTGCCTGAAGGAACAACACGAATGGTTCAAGAACCACATTCCCGAAGATGTCCGCAAGACACTTCCTCTATGAGCAACCTGCCATTGTCCGTTGCGATCACACTCAAGTCTCGTTTTTGCTTTAACTTTGTGGTGATGCGGTTCAAAGTCTTATACTATTAGTGTTTTGGTGGTCCAAATATTATTACTAAAAAAACCCGGAGACATGGGACACAAAAAAATGGAGGGGCGGGACAATAAGGTCTCGAACACAGCTCGTACAGAATTTTTTAATTAATGTTGATTTCAGGTTTATTTGTGGAAACACTGAAATTAACCGTTATGTCATTATTTAGGTTGTGCCGTTTGAAATTTTATGAAATACGTAATAGCTGCACGCATTTTGCAGGCCACTCAGCTCCTTGAATGCTCGATGCTTGATGCTTCTGCCAACATTATTTGTATCTCAAGTTTTTCTACCACAAGAAACAGTACCCTAACATTTTGAAATAGTATTACTAGCTTGGATTTTATCTGGTATGCATATATAAGATCTATGGATGTTCCTAAGGAGGGCATGAATTTGAAACATACCCTGTCCTTACTAACCTTCAAACATTTTTTTTTTTGTGCCTGCTTAAAAGCACTTACATTGCTTGATCGTTGAATTAATTTTTTAGCTAATGTTGAGGACGCTTATAATAATTAAGGAAATCAGATCGCTCTTGAGCTTGTTTGTGCCTCTGTAGTAATTGATGCTCTTTCATACCTAATGCTTAATGCAACAATAATTATCAAGCAATCCTTACTCAGTGTCAGATATGCAAGCAGATGCCAATGCCTCTGTTCATTGAGTGGCGAAAGGCATTGCTCTTTGTCACATTGCATGCATTTATGACAGCCCACCTTAATAAACTATAATGCAGCTAATCTTAGATTATTTCTTTCTGAACTTACTTTATCCTAAGTTTAGACAGAATATTCAATTCTTCATGCAGGTCAGACAGATATGTTATGTCTTTCTTAAGTGGAGCACACATTATCTTTTTGTACATGTTATATATGGTAGTGGTTGGGGTGAAAGAAAAATATATATGGTGTTAATAAAATCTTTTCAATGCAGCACCTGTAGCAGTGATTTTTATAGGTGTTTCAAGCCTAGACTAACCAACTGAAGAAATGCCTGTCTGAGGTTTAGGAAGAAAACAGGATAATAGCCTCCTCTTTCCTGTTACAAGTGCAAATGGTGTATAGCCCAAACTAGAAGCCATAGAAGTGGCTAGCAGTCTCATTCTTGGACTGCCTTCTACAGTGACCCAGAAACACAAATTTTGATCTGTTATCCTGAACAGAAATTGGTGATAAACCCTCCTTTGCTTATTATCTAAAGTTAGAAAGGTGACTGAAGTGGCCTCTCCTTAGGACTGCTGGCCCAGCGTTCTATTGAGACTAATGAGAAGTTTCTAATATTTTTTCGTCATCATGGTCTCGAATATTACAAGCTTTCTGGACGAAACTAATTTCACAAAACTTTTGGTGGTTAGTGACAATTTTTAAGTTTTTCAGTTTTCCCAAAAGATGGGCTCCTTCAAGACAAGTGAATAGAATTAGATTCAATTACAAATGGGGTTGGGGATAAATACAAACCAGATGACGTAATATGCATTACTTCTAGGAGATAGTTAATGTCTTTGAGTTAAAAAGAATGACATTTTGTCAGTATTGTGTACCAGCATGGTAGCACAAATCTAAACCATGCTACCTTCCTCACTTCAGACTCGCTGACAGATCTTGGCTCTAGATAGACCTGGACATTTGTTGGTTGTGTCAAAACGTCTTTTATATATCTTAATATTTTTTTTAAATTAATTGGTGCAGTTCAGCAGGATTACAGCGGGGTAACCCTTTCCGAGTCCACAGCATATACTGCTCTGTACCTTGACTCTCGAGTTGTATCCAAGTTCTGTACCTCATACCTGCGTCAAGCATACAGGCACGAGAGTGTGGCTTTGCAAACTGCCTTGTTTGCATGAGCACCCTTACTAGAGAAGCACTTTCTGATTCCGTGCTTCACACAGTGGTTCACAGAAATTTTGGGGAGGGGTTTAGATTTTTTATGTTTTTACCTAAAAAGATGGAGTCCAACTTCACCTTCAAGTGGTAGATCCCCAACTTTTTTCACTGTTGAGATTTAAATTACTTGGTCTAGTGTACAGAGAGCAACAAGGCTGCTAGAAATAAAGTCTTTGTCGAAGACATCAAAAACATGAAGTATACAAAGCTTGAAACTTGCAGAAGTTCATCAAGAATACTCAGAAACTAAATCCCTAAGTCTCGAATTGGCGTTCAAAACCTGACTTCTCAACGTATCGCGCTGGGATTTCCTACATAGGTGGCCGAAAATGGTGCATTCATTAATTGTGAGTATGAATACGTGAAACTTTTGGAGTCAATAGAAAGAAAATAAAAACTTGTTTTGTCCATGGAAAAATTATCGCTAAGCCTTTTTTCACAAAATCATCGAACAATCGTTCTGGGTTAGTTTGGCGTTTATTACGACTGAAAAATCGGTGAAATGGAAAGAAAAAACAATTGGCTTACCTATTCCTCGCTTTATTTGGCACAAATAAGCGCCACATTGACAAAATATGTTTAAGTTTACATGCAACGCATAGGGAAACCAACCTCGTTAAAGGGACCATGAAATGATTTTAAAATCGAGTTTCATCCACCGCACGTCGTAAAAGGTGTGAAAAGAAACACAAAAACACAAAAATAGGGAGCCCAAAAAAATTATTTGCTATAGAACTTTTAAAAGAAAACTGAACTCTTTTGCGCCTTCCTTCCTTCGCCTGTTCACTACGATGCATACGCAGAATCGGTGCACGTCAGCCGAATCCACATCGCCTATTGGGTAAGAGCCTACCGAGCCTACCTCACCAGCACCGCGATCGTAAACAATAAATAGCCGGCGAATGTTTCCTAAAAGTTTTGTTAAATAATATTCAGATCCACATTTTGTAGCATAATTAGAGATGTGTGGCGAAAATTGCCAAATTTGATAATGCTGAGAGCCAAGCGCCATCTATCGTGTGGTAAACGAAGCAACTACTGCGCGTGCGCAGTAGGGCAGGGCCGCCAGTTAAGGCGCATTCACACAGCGGAAAGACGCGCGTCGTGGGGGGAATTTTTCGCTTATTTTTGTATTGAAAAAAGTCGCGCGCCGAGGAGGACGACGCAGGGAGACGACGCCTCGGAACCCAATTTCTCCCTCGACGCGCGCGCTTGAGCCAATGAGCGAGCGTCCGGACGTGACGTACGCCCTTTTCCGGTTAGGACATGTTTTCGCTGTTTTTTTTTATTTTCGACTTACAATGAAGGCGAAAAGGCACAGAGCTCGGGGGATTCGTGCACTCGCCAAACGTGGCTGGAAGCATTTCAGCGTGGAAAGAGGCAAGCCGATTGGAACATCTGACTGTGAGCAGTGTTTTATGTGCGTGTACGACGCCGTGAAGCTACTCTTCATCGTTTGCGCGAAGCTGCCGCGAAAGCTGCCATCGAAGTTCGCGGTGTGTTCCGACCTCCGACTGTGCGGGAGCGATCACTCCCAATGTGTTGTGTAGTTTTGTGTACACCCATCACTACGGAATACAACAGTCCTCCATCGAAAACACTCTCGCACAGGCTGCGTGCAGTGTTAAATGTACGGACGCGAAGGCTCTGGGACGCGCCGGCGTAGCACCGTGCTTTGTTTGCACAAAAACGCGGCAAAAGAGCACCTGAAGCTGCCCGTTCGAGTCCTTGCCTTTCGCCAATGCTGCATATAACCGGAGTATAAACGTATATATAATCATCACCGTTGTCCATTCAGTGAAGACGGTTGTCTCCCACCGCATATGCAATCGCGAAGGCAAGGCAACAACAATCGTGCGAAGCAGACGAATAAAAAAATTCCGTGTTCTCTCGACAAACGTGAGATTCCCCGAGACGCCGCCGCCGTCGGGTGGCCCTGTGTGACTGCTTCGTATTTTACGACGCCGGCGTCGACGTCGACCGCAACGCGCGTTTTTTGCTCAGTGTGAATGCGCCTTTACTTGGGTTAGAGCACTATATAGCTCCTTCGGAGCAGAGTAGCGCAATCCAGAACGCCGCCTCTCGGCGACTAGCGGCGAACGCCCGGAGGTTCCAACTGCGGTCAGAAATGCATGGAGAACGTGAGAAAATCGTTGTTTCTTCAGCATTGTGGGAATATACGGAATGGCAATCGTTTGTGACATAATAATGGAACATTTTAGAATAATTTGCGCTAAGTTTTGTGACCCGCAAGAACCTGACTTTTTTTTAAAAATTGCTTGAGCGGTATCATGCAGCAGACGACACGGCGACGTCACACCATTCACGTGACCCGCTCCGGCCAACCCGAAAAGCCCATCTCCGCTGCGAGCAAAAATCGTCTGCTTCAAACGCCATTGCCTTGGAAATTGCCTTCTCAAAATTTGCACACGCATCCGATATTATTGAAACTTTGACAAAGTGTTTAGTGCTTTACTAACTTCACGACAAACTAGTTTTGAAAAGTGTGAACTCGCCGTTCATTTTTTAATCAGCCGTGTTGTACCGATCTCCATGTATTCTCCCATAGGGCGGGCCGCCTCCTGGAACCCTGAGTACCACGTGACTCGCGCCGAGCCGCTCTGTCGGCCATCTTGTCGGCAAAACACGAGGTTCAAAGGATTGCGCTACTCTGCTCCGTAGGAGCTATATAGTGCTCTAACTTGGGTGACGGCGACCGACGAACATTTATTTTCTTTGTTTTCCTTCCTCTCAAAACTCTGACTGACTGAACGTTTATTTTTCTACGTGTTCTTCCCGCGCGTGCCGACTTCAAGCAGCAAGAAAACAGTACTTAAAACAGACCACGACGAACAAGAACGCTGGATTCACCGACTCCGACGAAGCGTATAGGCCTAGCAGGCATTCCGACTCGGCGCTGCGTTGCTTCGTCGCAAGACCGTCTGCCTACGACCGGCTGGCGTGCTAAATGGAATATGCCCGCGCGACCCTTGTGGACCCTTCCCGTATTATAGTTTGATCACTGACCTCAATTCTAGATTAAGAGGTGAGGAGGTCAATCTCTTCCCCTTGTTTTCCGAGGCAGTGTTGACGAACACTCGTCGAAAAGGGACTCTCGTCGATTCTATCTTCTTGTTTTGTGTGATATAGAGCTGAAATAAACGCCGTATGGATTGCCTTCGTAACACGGTATGTACACTTTGTTATTGGTATGCCATTTTTATCCTGACAGACTGCACGTCACTGTCGACCCCGGTCCAACCTTTCTTTGCCGAGTGTCGCGTCAGTATCGAGTTGCAATCGTAAAAGAACGGTCCCGAAGCGCTTACCAACAGCGCGAATACAAGACTTCCATCAAGCGCGCGCGTCCGCTCCGAGTGTAAGCAGGTATTTACGTGGCTCTTGCTGACACTCGTAGTTCAAACGTATCTTTTTTAACGTCGGCTCGCTCCTGCATCTCCGAGGCCGCAAAAAACGCCATCTACGTCGCTTTGCAAACGACTGACACGGGCCGGCCCTTCTGCCAACAATGACGGGGTGGTGACAAGACTCGCTGCACTTCCCAACAGGCATACCGGCGTATGGGACTAGTCCCATGCTGTCGCTGTAGCGCAACATATCTGATTGAATTTCGCTCAGCTGCGATGCGGCGACGAGAGGCGCAGATTCAGGAAATACGTCGGTGACATCAGCGCAGTAAAACCTACCGGCGCACCCCAACTCGTTGCCGCTAACACTCCCATTCTCCTACTGCCGAGAGAACTTCCGGTTCCGGAAACGGTCTACGTCACGGCTTCTTTTGCGGTCAGTTGGAGAGAATGAAAAAGTCGATATTTCAATAATTTTTTGTGTAAAAGTTAATAAACCGAGACGAAAACGGATGCCTGTTCGGCATTCAGTGAACATTGACGGTTTAATGTAAAAGTTATCTGGAAAAAGTAAAAAGGTCATTTCATGGTCCCTTTAACCATAGCTTTTTTTTTTTTTTTCGGGATTTTCTCAGGTGAGTCAGTCTTTCCACAATTTGAGTACAAGCTTCCACTACCTTC